GGAGGGTTGGGCGTGGGGCTAGCAACCCTACATCACTAAACCTATCAAACCGCTAGAGAAACTTCAACGCACAGAAAAAAATAAATATGTAAATACATATAGTACAAATTAGTTATCGAGAATTTTGGTAGGATATTAAAAATCAAATGTTGTTTTACATATTTTGTCCTTATCCTGTGCCTAAGCAACATGCATATCCTTCACCTGGAATAACCTGAAAGCATTTTGTTTGTTTTCCAGTGTTGTTTAAGTTCAACATAAGAGATTCATGATAATTATGTTTAAGAAAATACTGAAAAGGCAATAAAAAGTTTATAGTTCTTTTCAATCTATTTTTTCCTCTACCTTTGTGTGTGTGTATGTGTGTGTTGTATATTCCAGTATGTGGCAACTTGAACTGCACAGTGGTTAGGACTCTCGCCGACCATGCACATGGTTCAGGGTTCGAACCCCTGCCGGCGCACACCCGATATCTATGGTCGGCCTGTAAAATTTGGGCTACCGATATCCATGCTGAAAATTCCATACCTGTACCTAAAAATACGGTGTGGCATCAAGCTGTAATCAAAATAAAAAAAAAATAAAACTTTTGTGCAAAGTTTCACGGGGAAACTCACTCACTCAATTAGTCGGTTAGCAAATATTTGAAAACCAAAACGAAAATGTAGAAAGGCAAACGTAGAAGACAAATTTCGCGAGATGATATCGCCATTTCGTAGTTTCTTTACAACCACATTAAAACGAACATGGTTCAACCATTAATAAAAATAAAACATAGTTCATGACAATCACTCAGTTATATAAAAAATAAAAGTACATACTAACGACCAATCATATTTAAATGGGTCAAGTAGTCCATGGTAGGCGAAGGTTGAACTCGATTGTGTTCTCTTTGTACACACAGTTTAGGCTGTATGTGAATTAGAGTTATGTGATGAAATAATTGTGAAACAGTCATTAATAATATTGATTTTGTGACCTGACATTAATAAGTGTTTTGCAATGGATGTTGATGCTGGATTTCTATTCAGATTTTCTATATGTTTTAATAACCATTTTGTAACATGTTCTTTTCGGCGACCACACTGGGACATTCTATTGGTTCTACCTATATAGGTGTGTGTCACTGCAACTGCAGGTGAACTTGTAGATACAGTTTGAAGCAGAGTCCACAGAATTTCGTCCTTTAATCGTAGGTACAGGGATCGAAAATGTTTGGCATGTGAGAAAAAGAGATGAGACGGCGTAGAATGTGCGTTTGACAGCAGACCGAAGTCTTTGAGCTGTCTGTCAACTGCATAATCTGGTCACCCTTGAATAGTAGGTTAATAAAGATACTTTTCTTTGGTACAGAAGCTGTCTTTTCTAGATGTGGTCAATCCTTACTATGACAAGTGATTGATGAAGTTTTTTGGATAACCATTAGCTAATAAAAGTGAATGTATATATCGAAGCTCATCCATCAATGTGTCGCTCGTATATATTTTTCGGGCCCTTGAGAACAAACATTTCACTATCAAACTTGCGCCTAATTTGTCACTGGCCTTCCATTTGAGGGTGTGGTATGTGATGTCACTCAAAGATCGCCTTAGTGGACTCTACTTCAAACTGTATGTACAAGTTCACCTGCAGTTGCAGTGACACACACCTATATAGGTAGAACCAATAGAATGTCCCAGTGTGGTCGCCGAAAAGAACATGTTACAAAATGGTTATTAAAACATATAGAAAATCTGAATAGAAATCCAGCATCAACATCCATTGCAAAACACTTATTAATGTCAGGTCACAAAATCAATATTATTAATGACTGTTTCACAATTATTTCATCACATAACTCTAATTCACATACAGCCTAAACTGTGTGTACAAAGAGAACACAATCGAGTTCAACCTTCGCCTACCATGGACTACTTGACCCATTTAAATATGATTGGTCGTTAGTATGTACTTTTATTTTTTATATAACTGAGTGATTGTCATGACCTTTATTTTATTTTATTATTGTGGTGAACCATGTTAGTTGTAAAGCGTTTGTAAAGCAACTACGAAATGACGATGTTATCATCTCGCGAAATTTGTCTTCTACATTTGCCTTATTCGAAAATGTAGTCCTCTGAATATCATTTATTTATTTTGTTTAATTAAAATTATTAAATAGTAACTTTTGGCATATGTGAACTTACGCCAGCTCTGGCTTAGTTCCTATTCCTCTACGTTCCCAGTGGAACATAGGATGACTTCAAGCTAGAACTTTGAAGTTTCGGTAGCAGTGGTGTGAATTTTCACGGGATGGAGTTACTAGCCTCATGCTCTACCTTCCCTCTTTACCAGTCTTATTACTGGCTTAGCGATTTTAAGGAGTGCATCGGACTCCGAACCACATGCGTATTTGCCAAGCATTCTAAATATGTGCCACCGACGCACTCTGGCTTAGTAGACTTGTGATATCCGTCTAGCTGTTGACAAAAAGGTGTGTGTACTGCTCAGAAGAAGTTCACTCAGTCCGCATTCATGATTGCCTGTGAGACATGGCCATTGAAAGTGGAAGACATGAAAAGGCCGGTTGGCTATCTTTGATCGTAGGTGCCTGCGTTCTATCTCCCGTGTTAAATGGTATAATAGGGTGAGCAATATTGAAGTAAGGCATCGGTCGAGTGTTAGGCAATGAGGGGAAATCAGTCGACGACGTTGTGAAGTTACATCGATTGAGATAGCTGGGACATGCGTTACGCATGCATTCATAGCCATCGCCTTCCTCGATGGGCAATGCTAGCTGATTGACATAGGATTGATCAGGTTGGAAAAGAGCCAGTAGGTGGTGGTCAAACCAAAACATGGCTTCATCAGTCAATGAAATCCACAACAGTTAGTTTAAGCCAGCCACGTAGAGAGGGGTAGGCTGTTCTGGCTGGTCGGAGTTGTCGGGATGGTAAAAACCGATGACTGGAGACAACTGATGATATGGCTGAAAGTGATCGTTGTCAAAGGCTGGCGCAGATGAATTCACCCTTTGTGATTTATTATATCCAATAAAATTCTGTTGTTCTTCCATATAACTATCGTTTTTCCCCTCACTCACACTTCTGTTAATTATCTCTCTCTGTTCTGAATCTGTTTTTTCTCTCTTCTCTTAATTTGTGTGGTACATGGAGGTAGGGGAGTATGGCAACTCGAACTACTGTACATCTGTGCAAATTACTACACTGAAATCAACCAACCAGTTAGTCAGACTAGTGATAGAACATGTTGACCACTTCACCTATTTGGGAAGTTGTATCAGCACCAACGGATTGATTGGTGACGAAATCACAGCACGGATCCAAAAGCTCGGGCTGTTTTCGCTAACTTACACCATCTCTGGCGTAGGCGTGACATCCGACTATCAACCAAGGGACGTTTATACTGCTCAGCAGTTCGCTCCGTCCTTCTCTATGGTGGTGAGACGTGGCCATTGAGAGCGGAAGACATGAAGAGATTGTCTGTTTTTGACCACAGATGTTTACGATCTCTTTCTCACGTTAGGTGGCATAATAAGGTAAGTAATGTTGACGTTAGGCGTAGAGTGTTGGGCAAAGAGGGAAAATCAATTGACGAGGCTATAAAGTTACATAGATTAAGATGGTTAGGCCACGTGCTGCGCATGCCTAACCATCGCCTCTCCCGACGGACGGGCATTACTAGCTGATATAGGTGCAGGTTGGAAAAGAGTAAGTGGTGGCCAAACAAAAACATGGCCTCATCAATCCATGAAATCCTTGACAGTTAAACTGAGTCAGGTAGGGAGATGCAGACTTCCTGACTGGTTGGGGCCCTCGGGACTCTAAGAATCAATGGCTGGAGACAATAGGTGACATGGCTCAAAATCCTCGTTGTCAATGGCTTACGCAGATGTATTCAGTCTCTTTAACCTTCATATTCCTTTCTACCATTACTCATTGTGTTTCACTCTTATACTTGTCAAAACTGTATTGATTCTCTTCACTCATCTTCTTGTCTACCTTTGTGTGGTATTTGGAACGTGGCAACTCGAACTGCTGCACTTTGGTGCCAAGTTCTATGTTGAATCCAGCAGCAGCAGCAGCAGCAGCAGACTAGTCCCCATCTAAAAGAAAACAGCTGTCGGTAGGTTTTCAGTGCTTATCTTTTACTGATGTGAATTCGTGAGCGAACTGACACTTGAAGAATAGATACTGAACAAAGAGTACTCTTTTCGATAACTTCTTCATCATCAGGCTCTACACTTATATACACACATTATAGTGAATGAATGAATTAGTCTTATGAACAACATTAATGTTGTTTAAATAACATCGAATCAATAATATTGATAGATTACAGCTCAACAGCATGAACATAACAATAAGCTGAATGTCAGAAAAATTAGGAAAGATAGTATTACAAATTCATGAATTTATAGTCTCTACTGAAGGCCAGGGCAGTAGTATGGGCTGGACTTACTTCTTTAGCACACGAAGCACTGGTTGTTTGAGGTGAATTGCAATAGCCTCTGCTGTTTGTCGCATGCGGTGCTTCGATGATTTTGGCAATTTATCAGGCACCCGGTAGATTATAGAGAAGGATTCTTCCACGCTGGCTGGCTTTGTGGCCGGTTTGCACCAGATGGTCCAATATCGAACTGTTAATGGTTTTCACTACACCTTTACTTAGCCATAGTGGGAGATGTTCTCGAGCCAGCACGAAAAATCAAGTTCCTAGAGCAACGGCCAATATAACTCGCTCCATCGGAATCGCAGTTGCATTGGTAGACACAATTAAAAGTGGCTAGTCTAGGTACTTCATGTTTCAGTCGAGGTAGTACCATCGGTCGTTAAGGGAACAATAATACGTGTAGTTCGCCAGAGCATTAAAAGTTCTGTGAACTGATTTTCTTAATTTCCTCGTAATTATCTCACTTGGTATATCCATCGCCCTTGATTTGTAGTCGTATATATAAAGTGGCTTCTATTTTTACTTTCTCCCACTTTTTCTTCTTCTAGGTAATCGAAATCCTATTTGGTTCAGATTATCAAACCATCCATTTAGGCTTGGTATATCCAATATCAAAATCTCAAACAACATGTGGTTTAAATTTAAACCTATTCACCGCAATCCATAGTGATAGTTTTGAAGGTGATGATAATCAGAAAAGGGATCAGATGCTTTTCATTTTACGTCAACACATTGAATCCTATCGAGATCACCTTCAGACAGATGCTATAGGATCAATTCAATCGACTGAAGCTCTATTAAATTTAACCAGTTTATTACGTTGTCTTTCAACTAGTAACGCGTCGATTTCCGCATTGACCAGTGCTACAATGTTAGCCCCTCCAGCTATTGAAGGCCGAGTGATTTATCGTCAAATTAATACATGGAGAGATCGATTAATCGATATATTGATCAGTTGTGGTACAGACACATGTTTAACAATTGTCCTCAATCGATTAACAGCTTTAAGTGAATTCATTTATTCGAATAAAGGCGAAGAAGAAGCAGGAGGAGGCGTTGAAAATTATAACGATAAATCTTTAGAAATTATTAAAAGTAAAGAAATGCTCTACACTAAACTTTGGCCATCCATATCACATTTACGCAAGTTGACTAGTGTTCATCAAATGGATCAATTGTATGCAATGTGTGAAAAATCAATACTTATCGATGATAACTACATATGTCTAGTGACTTTGATTAATTTATTGGAGCATAACAGCATCGCCTATGATGTAAGACCAATTGTTCAACATATTCAAAAATTACTTGATATCTCAGAGTTCAGTGTGAAAAATGCACCAATGAAACGTAATAAACTGTTAGCTGGTTTAGCTATGAGTAAGAAGTTACGTCATCCAAGCTTGACAAGATCACTGTTTAAAATAATTCTTGATAATTCAGAAAAACGGATTCCAGTGGTTCTACAAACTTTAGCTATCCGAGTTATTGGTGAGATACATTTTTCAAATGCGGTTAAAAATCGATTAAAAAGTTACAATGATCATGATCAACAACAACAGCAGTTAACTGAAATACGCACTCGACTTATTGATATTCTGTATAAACTGCCAAAAGAGTCACAAAATGATTTATTAATCGGTCAAGAAATATTCAGAGTGTTATTACTTTCAGAATTACCAGCTGGCAGCCTTGCCCAGATTCTATCTGATCTGGCTCAACAGTCAAGATGGTCACTGATTGAAATATGTCGTCAACTGATTCAACAATGGTGTAAAATGGAAATGTTAACCATCGATGAATGTCAATGTCTTGACTGGCGACAGTCAACATCAACTTGCCAGCTAGGACTAAGTGGAAGTTGGTCTGGTTTAACTGGAAACACTGGCGTAGAAGAAATTGGTCAAGCCACACGGTTACACAATGAAATAAGCAATTTGAATAATACTCTACTTATTGATTATACAACATATTTTGTCTTGGATCCTGACGGAGGTTTACAACTCTCTGATCTCTCGGTTAGTTTAGTGAGTAAAGATGGTGAAGCGGTGATTTTCGACTTTAGTATTCAAGCTGATAAATTGACTACACTTGGTGGTGGCGGTAAGTCGTCGAGTAAGAGTAAAGACACCGCTTCATCCGATTCTGATAGTGATGCATGGTTGAATGTTGACTTCAGTTACCTAGGTATATCTCTATTACCGCAAGAAGTGTTCTCTGGCGGGGCATTAGATATTGTGAAATTCCTCTGGTCTGCTTCATCGAGTCGGTTGACACCACTTTTACAAGTTTTAAAATTGCCAATTGATCAACGCATACAAATCAGTCTAACATCTGGTCGGGTAGTACAAATGGATAATTTAGTCGGATTGGCGTTAAGTATATCCAGCTCACTGGAGGCAAGTGTATGGCGATTGTCAGGTAAAAGTTTAGCTAGAACACAAATAGGATTAATCAATGAAATGAAAATCAATTTGTTACAATCATATCCCCCCTCCTCCTCACAACTGCAGCAACACCAACAACATGAAGAACAATCGATAAACTTACAATTGCATCATTCACTTATTACAAAAGGATTTGCTTTACAAGGAAATATTGATTTTACTACAGAAATCGATATTAAACATCTTCCGGATAGTATATGTATGACTATGGATCAAGGTGATAATGCTTATGTTTTACAATGGTATTTAACTAATTATTCGTCGTTGTTCTCCTCCCCTGCTTCCCTTTCTGCTTCTTCCTACATTACCTCTCCGCTAGTGAACACTATTCATCATGATAAGGATGTTTATTACATGTCAAATTATACCCTACAACCAGTGACATACTTTTTAGGTAAGGATAATTCATTGAAATGCAGGAAAATGAAAGTCTAGTGAAAAACTGAGATCAAGAAAATGATCTTCTATGAAACATTCTTTCTTTTTTTTTAAAAATTTGTATATTGATTTTTTTCTTTGTTTTCAGATCGTATGTATTCATTAAATCAATACTGAAAGAGTGATTATGAGTAATTAATTAGTTAAAAATCAATTTTTATATTTTGTACTTTTTCTTTTCGTTATTGGATATAAATTCACTAGGAATGTTTTTTAATTTTTGGGTGGTTTTATGTGTCCTTCAATAGGTTCAGTTTAGTGGCGGGATGCGAAGAGAGTGAAATTATAGTTTACGTTAAGTTAATGAATGGCAATCGCCAACGGAATACGCAGAGTATGTGTTTTGTTGTAATAATAATAATAATAATTCACTTTATTCCACAACAATAATAATTTACAGCATGGAATTTTCAGCGTTTCATTTTACATATTGCATTGGTTTAGCTCTTTTTATAATTATATAAATGTATAAAATGTTAAAATATTGGTAGTTAATAGGAAAAATAAAAATAAAACCCAACAAAATGACACCATTGCTAGGTCATATTGAATAATAAATAAATAATATAACAAATAACACATGCGATAATATGCATCATTGCATTTTATAGTTTAGTTATTGATTTAAAAGCTGTAAAAGTTCTTTTCTGATATTCGTCTCTTCACACAATACTCGTGCCAAATATGGTACGGTCGAATTTTTATATTTTGTAGTACGAGCATAAATGTTTATGAAATTTCTTCTGGTCTTACCCGAAGAGATACAAGGAAACAATTGTGAATAAAGAGGATGTTCACTATCAGACAAGATAACTTTAGCTAAGTGTTTACAAGAATTCATATGCCTATTGACAACAGTGTCGGTTAGTTGAGTCAAAGGGATAGCACTGACCCTACACACAGCCCTCAATGTTCTTCGTAGTATTATATGGTCTTTTTTGAGTAGCCCAGGGAAGAATAATGGGGAACAATAAAGAATAATGGGCAAAACACATGAATTAATAAATTGTATGAGAAGAGATTGGGTTATACCTGAGTACCTCAACTTCTTTATGTAATAAGTCAGACGGAAAACTTTCGTAGAAACTATAAGAATTTGAGACGACCAGCAAAGGTTTGAAGAGAAACTAATGCCAAGATAAGAAACACTTTACTTACTCTCTATCATGGTACCATCAATATTACAACAATCATGAGATTGGATCAATCCATGCATATCTTTTTCACTTCTCAAGCTGAAATCAACAGTATTACATTTAGTTAGATTTAGTTTAAGACCATTTGAGCCAGACCAATCCTTGAATTCAGCTAAGAAGCCATTCATATGGGAACAATCCGATGTGGAAACTACAGGGACAGAAACGGTCAGATCATCAGCATACTTAATGAAGTTAACTTTGGATGAGTTCGGAAGGTCATGCAAAAAGAAAGAGAAAAGAAATGGAGAAAGTACTGCACCTTGAGGCACACCACTTTCAGTTAGCTGAGAAGTGGAGCGCTTTCCAGCCAAAACAGTATGCTGTTTCCTATCCTTAAAATAAGAAGACAGCCATCTGTAGATAAGAGCTTCAGCAACACATCTCCACAACTGGTAACACAAACTCTCATGAATTTTAACTTCTATCAATTCGAATAAGGCATTTAGAAGACAAATTTCACCGCGAGATGATATCGTCATTTCGTAGTTTCTTTACAACCACCCAACAACTAACATGGTTCACCACAATAATAAAATAAAGTTCATGACAATTACTCAGTTAAATAAAAAAACAAAAGTACATACTCATGACAAATCATAGGTCAAGTAGTCAGTTCATGGTAGGCGAAGATTGAAGTCTATTGTGTTCTCTTTGTACACACAGTTTAGGCTGTATGTGGTGTGAACACGGGCAGTAATTTTGCTCGAAATATTACCAATAACAAAACTTATCATTGTGTGTAAACTATTGAAATATAATTATAATTTATTTGTATGTGATTAATCCAAAGTGCTTCCATCACCTTCAATAACCTTGAATTAGAGTTATTTGAAATAATTGTGAAACAGTCATTAATAATATTGATTTTGTGACCTGACATTAATAAGTGCTTTGCAATGGATGATGATGATGGATTTCTATTCAGATTAATAACTACATTGGGATTTTCTATATGATTAAGTAACCATTTTGGAACATGTTCTTTTCGACGACCACATTGGAACATTCTATTGGTTCTAGCTATATACGTGTGTGTGTCATTGCAACTGCAGGTGAACTTGTAGATATAGTTTGAGGTAGAGTCCACAGAATTTCGTCCTTTAATCGTAGGTGCAGGCATTGAAAATGTTCGGCATGTGAGAAAAAGAGATGCGACGGCGTAGAATGTGCGTTTGATGGCTGACTGAAGTTTTTGAGCTAGCTGTCAACTGCATAATCTGGTCACCCTTGAATAGTAGGTTAATAAAGACAGCTTTCTTTGGTACATAAGCTGTCTTTTCAATATGTGGTCTATCCTTACTATGACAAGTGATTGATAAAGCTTTTTGGATAACCATTAGCTAATAAAACTGAATGTATATGTCGAAGCTCATCCATCAATGTATCGCTCGTGCATATTTTTCGGGCCCTTGAGAACAAACATTTCACTAGGGAACGTTTATACTGGATAGGAACAAAACTGATGAAATGAAGATATTGTCCACTCCATGTCTGTTTACGAAAAATAGATCGCTGAATCGTTCCATCATCTCTCCTGGTCACTGTAATATCGAGAAAACCGAGTTTGTTATTCGATTCGAGTTCGGAAGTCACTCGGATATTTGGATGAATATGATTAAATGGGGTAATAAAGTTTTCAATAAGTTTACTAATATTACCAATAATGAGAGTATCATCTACATAACGTTTATACAGCATAAATTCTCCAAGCATACCTTGCATTTGTCTCTCCAATTTCGACATGAATATATCTGCTAATAGGGGCGCAAGAGGGCTCTTCATCGCAACACCATCGATTTGTTTGTATGCCTTTTCTTGGAAGGTGAATCTAATATTTTCTGTACATATTAAGATGATGTCTCTGATGTAAGTTACAGGAATAGGTAAGTTTACTTCATTGCTTATGATGTAATCACAAATGAAATCAACAGTTTCATTAAGGGGAACATTGGTGAATAAAGATTCTATGTCAATTGAACACATAACCTTATCCTTAATGTTCAAGGTGTCTAGCATATCTGTTAGATCAAATGAACGTTTTAATAGAATGATTTGATAATGAGTCTCTTACAGGCATAAGGACCTCTGTAATCCATTAGTTGTAAAGAAACTACGAAATGATATCATCTCGCGAAATTTGTCTTCTTAATGTCTTATTAAAAATTTATCAAAGGGACTTATTGTTTTAATTCTATCAATTCGTAATTTTATCGCGACTACCATCGCTGGCGAGTATTTGTCCTCATAACTGACTTGCTGTACCCTACTGGTGTCACAACTTTATGAAGTGATTGGATCACCTCTAAGTCTTTTTCCAACCTTATCCTATTTATGTCATTGAGGAAATCGGTGACTCGGCATGTGTGTGTGTCCTAGCCATATCATTCGATCGATTTAACCTTGAACCCTACGCCTAACTTCTATATTACTCAACATACCATATCACTTAACACGCGGGATAGGAGATAAAGATCTGTGGTCAAAAACAGACAAACCTTCTCATCATATCTTCCACCTTCAATAGTACGCGTTTCTCTGTTCTAAAGCTAATAAACCATTTCACCTACGAAGGAGAATGCAGCGACTCTCTACATTTCCTCAACGTCCTACTAACGAGAAGAGAGGATGGTTCCGTCGAAAGAACCATATTTAGAAAGCTAGAGACCAAAGTTCAGTATACACACTTCCTTAACTTTGTACCGATAAAATACAAACGTAATCTGATCAGATGCTTAGCATTTAGAGCGAGGTCTATTTGTTCCAAAGACTGCGTAGAGAAAGAACACCAGGTCATCCGAGACATTCTAAGCGAGAACGGATATCCAGGGAAGTTCATTAAAGCTAACATAGGTTACAATAGCCGTAAACATGAACTGGCAACGGTGGAGGAAAAGCCTCTGTTTTTACGTCTCCAATTCAAGGGAGATACTCCTGCGGAGATTCTATTGCAACGTTTAACCAGGGCGATCAAGAAAACTTTCTACTCTACACATCTCTTCCTATCCTTGAGTAGCCGTCCAATGTTCGCCCAACAACTCAAAGATGTCTTGCCTAAGCTTAGCTCTTCTTCATGCATATACCACTTCAACTGTTCCTGTGGTTCAAGTTATATAGGGCGCACGATTAGGCAGGTTCGTCTACGGGTTCGAGAACATTTACCACCTTGGTTCAGCAAGGGGGAAATTAGATGCATAAAAAGTTCGATCCTGTCATACTTGGTCGATACTGGACACCATATCGATGCCAACACAGCTTTCAGGGTTAAATACCGAATTCCAAAGTCGTTATCACGTACAGTTCGCTTACGTCTCCTATACATAGCTGAAGCTGTTGCAATAAGACCAACTAAACCGGAACTTTGTATCCAAAAAGAACACGTCCAAACGCTGTTCCTACCGTGGCCAAACTTGGATTGATGATTCTTCTTCTCACCACGAGTGCTCATTCCCCTTAACCATCTTGGTTTTGTTGTTTTTCTTTCTTTGCTTATTATTACAACTATTATTATTATTCGTCATAATTTATGCTCTTCATGCAAACATTCTCTCAATACTATCGAATTTTCCATTTATACTATCCGGACTTATTATTGGTGATATTATCTCTTTCCTCAATATATGCCTCCACCTGTTTCATTTCACATATTCGTTATTTCATTATGAACCTCTCATTGCAGTCTTACTATCTCCTGTTTAACACAGACCACTTTGTACTAGCCACTCACCTGACACCTTTTATAACCTTGAACTGACTTGTCAATTTTCCTACCCCACACTCTACAAATCTGTTATGATTAATCACCACCATTGTCTCCCATCTCATCGAAATATTTTGTAGTCGATTTCAGCTCAGAGCACGTTTGTCACACAAATACGACTATTTATTCTGACACGCCATAACTGCTAATCTATTATTCTACGTTAAAAAATGTATCCACCGCATCACTAACTGGCTATAATTATTGTAACGACAACAAATATTGCATATTTTAGAATTGTAAGAACCTGAAGAGGAGAAACTACTGAAAAGAATATTCTTCGTTCGGATTAACGTTTAAATCATGAATGACTTCCAATGGTTCTCGTCGAACTGAAGTCAGTTTGCGATCAAACCATGATTCAGAAAGTCATTCATTAAAACATAGCAGCGTTTACACGATTTCTGATCAATTTGAAAACGATAGAAAAACACATTTAATGTAAAATATATAGACATTTTCAGAAAGCTGACACATTCGGACAGATACGTAGACTACTTTTCAGCACATTCCTTTGCTACCAAAGCAACTGTAGCCAAGAATCTGACTAACAGAGCCAAACGTCCAGTTATTGAGTGGGAAGAGATCATCAAGGGACTAAAATTGGTTCAATCCACTCTTGTATCAAATAAATGTCCTAAAGCCTTCATGAAAAGATATTTAAAATGAGAAGATAAGGATGAATCGAAACCTGTTGCTAAGAATTGGGTTAGAACAGCGGCGATTCTTTACCGTAAAGAAACATCGGATAATATAAAGCGAATCATTAGCAATCATGACATAGGTGTGTAAATTTGTGCAACGAACACCTTACGCTCATCACTGGTGAAGGTTAGGGATAAAATAGAAGAAGAAAATCAACAGAATTGTGTGTACCAGATCACGTGTGGGGATTGTAACGCCGTATACGTAGTATAGACTTCCAGACAGGTAAATGTAAGAGTGAAGGAGCATTAACAATGTCTAAAGGCGGTTCCAAAGACCTCTGCAGATTTGAAGAAGCTAGAAAATGGATAGGCGACTGCACTACACTCGATATAAACAGGATACAAGATCGACTTTGATGATAGGGCCAAGGTTCTACAGAAAGGTTTCGATTCGTATGAAGAAAGACTAACTGCCGAATCCCTAAAGATATGGGTGAATCCCAACAGTTTGAACAGACGTAAAGGTGTGATCTTGTGAGCTGATGCATGGCGAATCCTGATTAATAAACGCAAAATGGTTATGTGTCACTAATTAATCATACTTCTTACTCTAAATTCCCGATTGTCTATATCTTCTTATGGAGAGGCTAAAAAATTATTTACAATTGTTTCCCAATACAAACAAACACAGCCACAGCATTGTATGCCAGAAGATCAACTCTTTGTATACAGAAGAAGTATGTTCAGCCTCTGTGTTTACCTTGGCCTACAATAAAGCCAACAAATCCTCGATGAACATTAACACTATAAATTCCTACCACAATTTTCTTTTCTTCTTCTATTCCTCTCTTTCATTAACAAACGTTCATTTTCGACTTTTATGATTTCATGACCTTTTTTATGATTTTATTACCTTAGGTTTAAGTAGTGCTTTTCTAACTTGCTATCGTATTAACAAAATCCTGTTCATTCCACTTCATTATTATTATTATTTGACAATCATTCACCAATAGTACTTTTAATTTTACACCATATAATCGTTATTATTTTACAATCATTCTTACTGTCGTTATTTTCAACCTTGAACTTATATCTAAGACCGCCCCATTCGTTGGTTTATTTTCATATTGTCTCACACACACTCTCGAAACCGGTATTTTCTGTTGACTATATTGATATATATACATACATCATTAAATTAAATTACTTCATCTCATTTTGTCCCATGTTCTCATTGACCATGCATATTAAAAAACTATCTGACTGTTGTTCCATTCCATCTTACTTATACTTGTTCCACAATACACTTTCTGATATAATTCTAATTTGCCTTTACTGGCTATTGTATGCTTAAATTATAAATGGATTTATAACTGTAGAGCCTGAAGAATTTATTGAAACCACAATTGTTCGCTCTAAATATTTTGTTCTGAATAAATTATGGGAATATTCAATTTACTAATATTTGTAAGTCTGTAGTAAAATTTTGATCACAGTTCATACGGTTTTGTTTGTTTATTATATTTTGATGTCTACTCATAACTCAGATATGGTTGGACAAAGTTTTTTAAAGACAAAATGTGTCCTTTTATGTATATATACCTTTGTTATTTTAATTTTGATTCATTTCCCTGAAGAGTTGTGGATCAGTTTGTCGAACACAGGAAACGTTGGAATTACTTATATTTCAATTTCCCTGAGATATATACATATATTGCATGGAGGATTTCATCATGAGCTGACATCAATTAGAGAACCACTGGAAAACCCGGGAGTACTGGACAGCTGTTTCATCAGCCTAGTTTGGGACTCTTCAGCAGTACGCACCCACCGGGACTCGAACCTGGAACCTTCTGGTTACATGGCGAGCTCGTAGACCATTGAGCCACCGGGTGCGTACTGATGAAGAGTCCCAAACTAGGGAGACGAAACAGCTGTCCAGTACTCTCAGCTGGTTTTCCAGTGGTTCTCTAACTGACGTCAGCTCATGATGAAATCCTCCATCCAATCAACATAAATCCCTACAAAACCAATACTTGAAAATATACAAATACAATGTTTACAAATATGTCCACATCTCACTCGGCGCCCAATTATATTAGGGAACTATTCATTCGGTCAAATCTTGATCACAGTTCACATTGAAACGGTAGAAGACGAAATACTTGGTAAAGGAATGTTTATTTGGAAATCGGTATCTCTCTATATAGCCAAATTATGTACACCACTTTATCTTCAACGCACCATTTGCACAAATCTTCGCGTTGTGTTTCTTTGTGTTCTTTTCACGTCTCCCATGTATCTCCACAGCGCTGTATCATTTACTTTCTCTGAAATCGAATGTACCTCTCTGCTATTTGATGTTGTTTTTACGCTGATGAACGTCTCTTTATATACTACTGATAAACCTTATCAGTAGCACTCGTTACAATATGAATATAATCTCCATTATTATATAAAAAGATAAATATTATATTGTATTTCTTTACAAAATATGAAAAACGTCAAAAAAAAATAAATACATAAGTAAAAAAGATCTCTAGGCGCTTCTTCATCAGTATTCTCTCTCATTCTGCGAATTCAATAATTGTATCTTCTCTCCACAATTGACCTTGACAGTCGCCTTTTGAGAAATGCGTATATGGATTTTGACGATCGTATATAATTTCGAGGCATATCCAACAGAAAAATAAATGACAATATGAACAGGTCATTTTATTGCAACCGGTTACCTTCTGATAATCAAAAGAAAAAGAGAGGAAAAAAGGCGAGGGGAGGGGATTTAAAAATAGGAGAATGTAGGAAAAGACAAGAATTACTCAAAATCAATAATAATAGTAATAATCTAAGTCAATCAGAAGACTTTAATCGAATTTTAGATTTTCCCGTCGATCGATTGGACCGAAGTGCTCCTCGGTATCAGGTTGACATGTCGGCTTCTTGTGCGGATGCTTCGACGATGTCTGGGCATTTAATTAGAATTTAATTGGTGGATGGTGACTAGCAGTGGAATCCAGAATGCGAATTTCGTCCTATTTGAGATTCATCAGCTCGATGTGCCTGCATTTCCCAGTGAGTGATGATGTTCCCACCGAGTCTCGAACCCAGTGCACCCTGGATTCCACTGCTAGTCACCATCCACCAATTAAATTACAATCAGAAGACTACCTGGTTTCGAACCTTGGGAGGCTAAGAAGCAATGGCTTAAAATTATTCTCTATGACGCAAATTCTTAGAATGGGCAAACTTCTTAGTTAGCGTTCTATCACCTATGTTAGATGGTATAAAAGATTGAGCAATATTGAGGATAGGCTTCGGTAGAGTGTTAAATAAGGAGGAGGGAAAACCAATCGATGAGGTTGTGAATTTATAAATCGATGGAGTGAGATGGTTAGGACATGTATGACGCATGCATCCCTAGCCATCAGTCGCCTCCGTCGACAGGCAATGTTAGCTGATTGACATACGATGCGGTTGGAAAAGAGCTAGCGGTACTGGTGGTGAAACCAAAACATTGCTTCATCGGTCAATGAAATCCACAACAGTTAGTTTAAGCTAGCCAGCTAAGTGGAGAGGTGTAGACTGGCCGGTTAAGTGGTTGGAGTCTTCGGGATGGTAAGAACCAACGAAGGCTGTAGACAATTGGTGATATGGTTGGCTCGAAATCCTTGTTGTCAGTGTCTGGTGCAGATGCATTCACTCTTTGTGATTTGCCAGTCATATTCAATAAAACTCTATTGTTCTTCCATATAGCTATCTTTTTCCCCCTCACTCACACTTCTGTTTATTATCTCTCTTTTTACTCTTTTCCCTTGCTTTGTATGGTACATGGGGGGGGGTGTGGCAACTCGAACTGAGTGGTGCACATCGGTGCAAAGTTGTTCTACGTTGAAACCAGAAGACTTCAAAAAATAGTGTGAAAAATCTTTCACTACTCTGGTAACCATAATTTTCTCTTTTTTTCTGTTGAGTAACACATTCTACTATTCAATTCTGACTTTCACTTACTGAGTTGAATTCACTATTAAGTTGTCAAATCTACTTAGTTGCTTCATTTGTCTTATAATAGAGAAGATTTGTAGCTCAGGTGGATGATTTGCAATATTAGTAGTGTTCTCTGAGGAGCTTTCGTCGTCCTTATTATTAAGACCGTTTGAAATAGATATGTGAAGAAGACAAGACTGAGGAGACTGAAAGGATTATTTATTTGGTGAAACGTATGGTACATAGCTAAATTTGGAATACCATATTCTAAACCGGCCATTTGCACATCTTCACCACATCCTTGACGAATTGGTCGAATATCATCTCATTCGATAGCTTCTTGGATTCTGCATCATATGGCAACATTCTTCTTATGGTTCTCTTCTTTGATTGCTCTTTCGGTGTGCCAAACATGTTGTTACTTCGTTCCTGATATACTACTTATATCGGATTATAAGTAGCACTCACCACACTCGCCCCCTCATTATAAAGTCTCTCCTGTAACCGCCTTGATCGCCGCACAGACGTTTCTTCCTGCTGCTCTTCTGGTACCTCATCTTGACATTCTTCTCTCCATCTTTGTAGCAGACTGGCGTTTACTCTTTTCTCTTTATCACCTCTCTTTATTGTGTACACTGGACCGCGTCTCGATGTGACCACATATGGTCCCTCCCACTTCGGCAGAAGCTTTCCTGATCCTGGTCCACTTCCGGTAGTATACTTTCGTTCTCTACATTTCACCTGGTCACCTACTTCAAACGGCTTCCAAGCTTTGATTTGTTTCTTGCCATAATTTTCGATGTCTTTCTTGCGCTTCTCTTGTATATTCTGAATAGCTTGTTTCCGCTCATTTGTCCATCTCTTACTGTTCCATTTTTGTTGTGTTGGCCAAGTCTTATGGTGCACCGGTAAGCGTGGTTTCCTCCCATACATCAGCTGGAAAGGCGACTTTTTTGTTGTCCCTTGTACTGTGGCACGATGTGCTAGTAATACCAACGGTAAGTCAGTTTCCCAGTTGCCTCTTTTCGCAGCTAGCCACTCCTTGAGTGTACGATTGTTCCTTTCGGTTAAGCCGTTTGTCTGCGGATGATACGGAGTCGTTCTAATCCTCTTAATACCCAGTGCCTCCAGACGAGTCTTGAACTCCTCACTTTCAAAACAGGGGCCTTGATCTGTCAATATCATTTTCGGTACACCATGATCCGCCACAATATGTCGAATGACGGCCTCGGTTACGGTCTTGGCGCGCTGATCTGGAATCGCTACAGCATTTACCCACCGCGTGGCGTGTTCCGTCATCACTAAAATGTATTGATTTCCACTTGCTGTCTGAGGGAAAGGACCCATTATGTCCACGGACCATAAGTCACCAACCGCCGTTACGGGTATCGTTTGTAGCTGCGGTCGACTGCACCGATCACCCTTCATCAATTGACACTGTGGGCAAGCGAGTACGTAGTTTGCAATATCGCCTCTCATGTTTGGCCAGTATGCACTTTGGCTCACTAGGTCGTATGTTCGTGTAACTCCTGTATGGGCTAGTTGGTGGCATTCTTGAATCACCCCACGACGAAGGCTTTTTGGTATCACTGTAACCCAGCTACCATCACTGTCTTTCCAAGTTAGGACGCCGGCAGCGTTTAGTTTGAGTCTATGTTTTTGCTGCAGTAGCATCTTTAACTCTTTATTCTCTGCTGCCATTTCAATTTCTTTCCCTTCACGTATCATCTGAATGACTGTCTTAAGAGTAGGATCCGACTTCTGGTGGCGAACAAGTTGTAAGGGATCTTGCTCCAAAGCGTTTACTGCATACGCTACTTCTGGTAGTTCAATCTCATTATCTGATCTCGACAAATAGTCAGCTATTACATTTTCTTTTCCTGGAATATGTCCAATCGTGAAGTCATACTCTTGTAGGCGTAACATCCATCGTGATAACTTCCCTCGTGGATCCCGTGCTGTTTTCAACCACTGAAGAGGTTTGTGGTCGGTCTCAATGTGGAATCGGCGGCCGATCAGATATGGTCTCCATTTTTCTAGTGCCCGTACGATAGCTAAACACTCCTTTTCCACCGTAGAATACTTCTGTTCTGCAAGTGTCAACACACGGCTAGCGTATTCAACAACCCCATCTGTTTGTCTTAAAACAGCACCTATACCATAATCACTGGCGTCTGTCGAAACTGTGAACTGCTTCCCCGGCGCTGGCAGTTTCAACGTCATCTGTTGACCATCTAACAGCTCTTTAATTCGCTCAAACGTTTGCTGTGCCTCTGCCGTCCACATGAATTTCGCGTCACTCAGCAACGTATATAGCGGTTTAGCTATCTCATTGAAATTTTTGACAAATCGGCTGTAGAATGCCGCTCTTCCCAAAAACTGTCTCAGCTTTCGCTTTGAATTTGGCACTTCGCTGGTTTTTACTGTCAGGATTTTCTCCGGCAATGGCCGTATTTCGCCATTTCCCACTTTGTAACCCAGGAGGACAACCGTGTTTTTAGCTATTTGGGACTTGTGCTTATTAATACGCAGTCCAAAGTCATCAATTCTCTTTAAGATAGCTTCGATGTGGTCTATATGGTCGCTTTCTGTCTCACTATATACCACCAAGTCATCTCCATATACTTCTACGTTCTTCAGATCCTTCAGTAATAAGGTCATTAATCTTCTGAATGTAAATGGGGCACCTACCAATCCAAATGGCATTCGTTTAAACTGGTATTGTTTCTGCCCGACTGTGAAAGCTGTTTTACTTCGATCACTTTCTGCTATTGGGATTTGCCAGTAACCCGATCGTAGGTCGAACACGGTGAATAACTTGGCTTTATGAAGGCGATCAAGAGTTTCTGTTACGGTAGGCATTACACACTGTTTTACTTCGGTGAGGCTATTCAGCTGTCTGAAGTCGACACAAAATCTATATTTCCCGTTAGCTTTCTTCACCAAAAGGATTGGCGAACTGTACGGACTGTCGGCTTCTTCGATTATTCCGTCGTTTAACATTTCTCTGACTTGTCGGTTAACTTCTTCTTCAAGGTGGACCGGAACTCGTCGCGATGAAAAGACTGTCTTCCCCGTATCCTTCAGTGGGATGTTATGCTTTACCTTATCACAATAACCGTATGGGTCTCCATCACTAGTGAATAAACCGGCATATTTACTCATCAACGTGGTTAGACGTGGTGCTTCTTGCTGACCAATGGTTGTGGTTTCCACCTCAGCGACTTCACTATTCTCATGTATCGCGAATTGCCCGTGTTTTGTGACCACTTTTCTATTCTTCATATCGATTAAAGCTCCTACTTCCCTGAGAAAGTCTGCTCCCAAAATCGTTCGTCTTATATCAGAAGTTACAATAAACGGATATCGTATTTTTCCTGCTCCAATCTCTACAACGCAGTCTGAAACGCCAAGAATGTGCAACGGATGTCCTCCTACCGTCTGAACTGCTAATGTGCACGGCCTTATTTCCTTACACTGTTCTCTACCTATCAACGAAACTGCCGCCCCTGTGTCGATCAAACAAACTATTTCTTTTTCGTTCACTTGTAATCTCCCGTACACTGAACCTCTTTCGACCAACCCGACCACCTCTAAACGCGAGCGAGAAAAAGAAGGAAGACTGTATCGTTTAAGGTTTTTCTGCCTTCTTTTCGGGCAGTTTCTCTGCCAGTGACCGGTTCCTCCGCAAGCAAAGCACCTGTTGTTTGTTTTTTTCTGCATAGCTGCCACCTGTTGTTTCAACTCTTCAATCTGGTCTTCAATCTTCTTGGAGTCTTGGCCCTCCGACATCACTGGAGCAACATGCGAGGTCATTATCTGCCTTGTCACCTTGGCCATTTCATAGACATCCATTGGCTGAGCTGCGTTAACTAGCTGCAACTGATGAGCGACATCTGTCGGGACGCATTCGAGGAACTGAGATGCCAGCAACTGCTCCCGTGAATCTTCGTCTAGGGTGGGTAACGCGCGTCGCAGGTGATTCGTCAGCGTTACTGCGAGAACCAACGGATCCCCATCCTGGCCAAGTCTCAGCGTCCGAAACTTCTGCAGCGCCTCTTGTCTGTCCGCAGGGCTGTCGAACTCGCACACGAGCCTCTCGACGACCTTGTCCCAAGCTGCGTCACCTTCCAGCTCCCGAGCGTTGTCGTACGCAGCCTTCGCGCGGCCCCTCAGCAGCGTTCCCAAGACCACCAGCTTCGCCTTCTGCTCCTGCACTCCAACCAGCTCCGCGACAGCTTCGAAGTCCCTGAGGAACGTCCGCACATCTCCATCCTCGAACACCTGCGGCCACGGCACCTTCATCTCCGACAGAGGCAGCGACACCAAATGTGAAGAAGACAAGACTGAGGAGACTGAAAGGATTATTTATTTGGTGAAACGTATGGTACATAGCTAAATTTGGAATACCATATTCTAAACCGGCCATTTGCACATCTTCACCACATCCTTGACGAATTGGTCGAATATCATCTCATTCGATAGCTTCTTGGATTCTGCATCATATGGCAACATTCTTCTTATGGTTCTCTTCTTTGATTGCTCTTTCGGTGTGCCAAACATGTTGTTACTTCGTTCCTGATATACTACTTATATCGGATTATAAGTAGCACTCACCACAGATATAGCACACAAGCCAGCCAGCACAATCACTTCATTCAATATTGTGCGAACCGAAAGATCCACACAAGAGAAAAAGGAGATAAAATTATAATACCAATTAGAAAATAAACTGCATGTATGAACTGTAATAGACATTACATCGGTCAAGAAAGTGGGCGTCCCCTTCGAATCAGAATCCAGGAACAAAAATCAGCTGTGAAAAGACATGATATATACTCTTTCATATCAATGCCTATAGATAATTATGGACATCAGTTTGATGAATGGGATAATGTCGAAATTTTAGACAGAGGAAACACCAAAACTGCAGTCAGGGAATTCCTAGGAGCCTGGTACTCAAACGAATATACAATTAACAAACATGTTAATATAGACCAAATATATCATCTAAAGTGTGCGTCGGTGGCACAGTGGTTATGACGCTCGCCGACCATGCACATGGTCCAGGGTTCGATCCCCAGCCGACGCACTCCTTTACCTCGCTAAGCCAGAAATAATGCTGGTAAAGAGGAAAGGTTGGGCATGAGACTAGCAACTCCACCCTGTAAAAATTAAACATTGCTACAGAAACTTCAAGCCACTAGCTTGAAGCCCTATGTTCCACTGGGGAACGTGAAGGAAAAAATACCACCTAAAGAAAGTAAATCATGTGACGAGAAAGTTTAAAATCCGAGTCAGTAAAAAACGATCAATACATATGTAAAGATGGTTACCAGGAGACGCAATTATATCATTCATGGAGAATTTAAATCAAGTATTGATTTGTAGGGATTTTGATTGATTGCTTACGGGATTTCATGATGAGCTGACATTGGTTAGAGAACCATTGGGAAATCTGGGAGTACTGGACAACCGTTTCGTCCTAGTTTGGGACTCTTCACAGTACGCACCCACCACAGCTCTTCAGTACTGTCAGGTTTCCCAATGGTTCTCTAACTAATGTCAGCTCATGATGAATTTAAATCAGTTCACTTTATGCTAAAAATTGCACTGAAAGGGGATTTTGTCCAGAAGGTCGACGAAAGCTCCACAATTAAACCAACCAGCTCGGAGAACACTACTAGTTGCAAATCTGTCTTATAATTTTAATTTACTATTCACTTCGATCCCACCCCCATGAACTCTCCATTATAATATGTACAAATTTATTCTGTTGTTCTATCTTGTACTTTGTCTCTAGTTCAACCTCGTTTCTGAACTCTCTTCCGTCGTCTGATTACACTATAAATAGTTACTCTATTAACACTGAGTAGTTCGTCTGCTTACATCATCTTTAGAATTATGTTGTCTATACATCTTTCTAGCTATAACTCGAAATCTCTGTGAAGAGTATGTTTGGAGATTTTGTAATTATCAAAAGTTGGTTTGTAAGGATTAGATTTGTTTTAACGATGACTTTGACCACGGATTGATATCAGTTGGAGAAACATTGAAAGCTACCATGGAGTACTGGACTAGACAGCTGTTTCATCCAACTAGTTTGGGAATCATCGGCAGTATGCACCCATCCCACAGGGAGGGGGTTCGAACCCAGGACCTTCCGGTTATAATAATTTGTTTTGGATGTAGGCAGCCATGTGAAGAGAATTGACAAAATAAGTTGAGCTCGTATTATCCTGTCTACAAAAATATGTTCGTTCTTTCTTTATGCTTAATCATATTTTAGTTTTCTAGTTATATTACTTTACCTCAGTATATCACCTCAGTATAGTTTGTTTTTTTCTCATTAGGAGATTTATACAAAAATTAGCATTAGGGATGCCCACTATCCCCATTTTTATTCAATTTCATTATAGATGTACTAATGAACTTAACTTAACCCTAACTAACTTCAGACACTCAGGGACTGACTTCTTACCATCAGGGAATAATCTCGTTGTCTTAGAATATGCAGATGATATAGTCCTCCGAACTATGTGAAGACACTCATAAAACTGAGCCGAGTCTTCTGAACACCTTGAGCTGCGATCTTCGAATGTTTGACATACGATTCGCTCCCGCCAAATGTAAGATGATACTAAAGAACTAGCCTACATTGACTCATTCCTAGCTTAAAGATAGGCAGGAGTGAAGTGGTTGCTGAGCGTGTTGACCACTTCACTTATTTGGGGAGTTGCATCAGCCAGCTCCAACGGGTTGATCGCTGACGAAATCTCAGCACGGATACAGAAGGATCGTTTCGCATATGCCAGTTTACGCCGACTCTGGCGTAGACGTGATATTCGGCTATCAACCAAAGGACGTGCGTACTGCTCAGCGGTCTGTTCCGTCCTCCTCTACAACTAGCTCTGAGACATGGCCATTGAAAATGGAAGACATGAAAAGGCCAGCTAGCTGTCTTTGATCATAGGTGCCTTCGTTTTATCTCCCGTGTGAAGTGGTATAATACGGTAAGCAATAATAATAATAATTTGCTTCATTCCAAAACAGTACATATGATACAGAATGGAATTCTCAGCATTTTTTTATTACAGTATTGCATCCAGTTAGTACATTATCAATAAATAGAATTCTACATAGATTAAGGAAATCTTAGTTCATTATTACAACAACACATTAGCATGTCAGTAGCAAAGGTAAAGCTGAACAGTGTTTGAAGGTGTTAGAAAAGGTTAGACGTCAAGTATTAGGTAAGGAGGGAAAATAAATCGACGAGGCTGTGAAGCTACATCGACTGAGATGGTGAGAATATGTGTTACACATGTCTAGCCATCGTTCGCCTTCTTCGATGGGCAGTGTTAGCTGACATAGGGTCAGGCTGGAAAAGAGCTAGCGGTGGTTAAACGAAAACATGGCACCAGCCAATGAAATCTACAACAGTTAGTTTAAGCCAGTCACATAGGAAGGTGTAGATTTCCGGGTTGGGGTCCTCGGGATGGTAAAAACCAATAACAACTGGAGACAATTGGTGATATGTCCCACAATCCTCGTTCTCAATGGGTGGTGCAGATGCATCCACTCCTTGTGACTTATAATTTCCAATGGAACTATATTGTTCTTCGATATTACTATTCTTTTTGCCTCATCTCTCTGTTTATTGTCTCTACTTTGTATTTCTTTTTACTTTCTTCTCTTGCTTTGTGTGCTACATGGAGTGAAGTGTGGCGACTCAAACTGCTGCACATCGGTGCAAAGTTGTTCTACGTTGAAACCAGTCAGTCAGTCAGTCAGTCATTAGTCTATGAACGTGAATTCAATAATCGAACACTTTAAACTTACTTCACAAGGTGTCCAACAGCCTGGACATTTCTTATAGTTGTCTGTAATTAATTTCTCGGATTCTTCTTCTTCTTTGATTTGGCGTAGTTTAGCTTCGCGATCTGCAGCGGACACTATTCGAATTGTGAATGAAAAGAGATTTAAAGGATTTCATCATCAGGAGGTGATATCGGTTAGAGAAACATTGGAAAACCACCGGGGAGAGTACTGAACAGCCAGCTGTTTCGTCCCACTAGTTTGAGACTCTCCATCAGTATACACCCACCATCATGGTTCGAAACCAGGATCTTCTGGTTACAAGGCCAGAGAGATCGTAAAGCATTTAGCCACTGGAACCCGATCCAGTGACCAGTCCATGAATTCCAACTTCTGCTAATTCACGATATGGCGCGACCACTAGAGTAATTGTCCTCACACCCGATCTGCTGTACCCTACTGGTCACGACTACCCAACAGAACCCTGAATAGGACCAGTAACTAGTAGGCATCAGATTCATATATTCAAGTGTTGGTTTGCAGGGATTTGATTGGATACAGCACTTCATCATGAGCTGACATCAGTTAGAGAACCATTGGAAAACCAGTCAGGGAGTGCTGGACAGCGGTTTCACCCTACTTCGGGGCTCCTCAGCGGTAGGTACTTACCGCCAGAGTTCGAACCCAGAACCTTCCGGTTACAAGGCGAGCTAGTAAACCATTCAGCCAATGGGACCCAATCCAATGGCCAGCCCATGAATTCCAACTTCTGCCAATTCACAATACAGCCCGGAGGGTGCGTACTCAAGAAGAGTGCCAATAGTCCTTTCATCGATCGATATCAACTGATGACGAAATCCTCTAGACAATCAAATCCCCGCAAACCAATACATGAAGACAAAAAGCTATTTACATTTTGAATTTTGTGCACACTTCGATTTATTCAAATGTGTAGATTTCATCATCAACTCTGATATTAATTAGTAAGGGAGAAAGAATCATTCAAAAGTCGAAGTGCGACTTCGTCCTAGTTAGAAACTCTTCAGTAACAATTAACGGCCATCTAACTGGTTATTGAACCCAAATCCTTTAGGTTGGTTGGGGCATTCTTTGACCATACGGTAGTCACCATAACGGAATCCAGTCAACAACCTACATATATATATACATATATATATATATATTCGTATGTGACCCCGCGTACACTATTTTGAGCCATGTCACCACTCACACTCTCCAACCTGACACCCTACATTGATATAATAAAACTTGTGCGCTGTGGTAAAGTAAAATTCCATTATGGATAAAATTTATTTTGATGAAGTCACACAGTGTGTTATACAGTAATATTTACTTATGACCACGTTTCGAACACAATTTATTGCTGCTCATAAATTCATTTATATAGTTCCATTGTTTTTCACTTGATTTGATTGGTAGTATTATTTTCCATATTTCGGGTATGAGTGATGATTCATTCCTATTGCATGTGTTGGGTGTAGATTCGATGAACAAAGATTCAGTAATCAACCTCTCTCTCCACAATGGAACTATATGAATGAATTTAGGAAGTCGTGTGATTAACTTGATATGATTATGAGCAATAAATTGTGCACGAAACGTCATCAGTAAATACTACTGCATAACACTGTGAGACTCTATCAAAATAAAATTTACCCATAATGGAATTACACTCTACCACAGTGCCCAAGTTTTATTCTTATATCAATGACAGCAGAAGTTTTGTTTATCGAATCAACTGAGAATACTTGCTGTGGGAATGATTCAACACCTGTCCATCAGGACAGCTGGGAGATTCTACTATCACTACGACGACAAATAGGAGAGAACATATCATAATCATATCAAGTTAATCACACGACTTCCTAAATTCATTTATATAGTTCCATTGTTTTTCACTTGATTTGATTGGTAGTATTATTTTCCATATTTCTGGTATGAGTGGTGAGTCATTCTTATTGCACGTGTTTGGTGTAGACTCAATGAACAAGGATTCAGTAATCAACATCTCTCTCCACCTACCTAGATTACTTATTAGAATTTTTACACTCTTCCACTCTATTGTGTGTTAATGCATGCAGTGCAATTGCTGAGTTTTTTTCTAAATTACTTGTCTTCGTGGGGTCAACCATTCTAATCTTAGCTAAATTCTTATGTTCTGACAATCTGACTACTCCCGATCTACTAGTTTAACCTATGTAGTTGACTTAATTCACAGTCATTGCAGGGTATTTTGTAAATTATATTATTTTGTCTCATTGGGTCAACCGACAGGGATCTTTAACCTACAGAGCTTGTCCTACCTGAGTGAGTTTGTAGGTTTAAATTCTACCAGCCTAATTCCTGCTTTATTAAGAATCCTACGTAGGGAGGGTTTCAGATGTCCCCTGCTTATATGGTATAACAGTATTATATTATTATTGTTTATTGTTCCCTTGGGTTCCTAGTGGAACATAGGGTTTCAACTACACGTCTCCACTCGCTTCTGTCTTCTGCCGTACTTTTCACCTGCATCCATGTTAGTCCATACTGTTTCATCTCCTCTTCACACGATCTCCTCCATTTCACCCTTGCACCGACGAACCACTCGCCACTTCCCTTTCGGGTTCCACTCGAGCACTGGCCTGACGCGCGATGTCACCCAGTGGCCTCCTCAGCGAGTGTCCAATCCATCTCCACTTTCTCCTGCATATTTGTTGGGCGATTGGTTCTTGTTTTGTTTGTTCCCATAGCTTCTTGTTGGTGATTCTTTCCGGCCATCTGATCTTCAGTATAGAGCGAAGACAGTTGTTGATAAAGGTCTGCAATAGGCTGTTGGAAATATTCTTTGTGACCCGCCAAGTTTCTGATCCATATAACAGTATAACAGTAGATGCCTTATATTCTTTCTTATTTATGTCATCATTATTAGATTCCCCATTATTTTTATTTTGCTTTCGACCTTTTCTGATCTTCCTAATGAATTTTATAGGATAGTTAGTTATTTAACACCAACTAGCCATTCTTCTATCTATTTCATTTCATCATTTAGGTCTTCTCTTGAACTACTTAGTGCTACTGCTCGGTTTGTTAGACACACACTTAACTAAGGCTGCCTTCACAGATAGATAACGGATGGGATGAATTAAAGTCTAAATATCTATTAGCAGAATGCGTTCGTTTTATTTTACAATCCAACATCATGGCTAATTCTCCTTGTTCATTTTCCGATTCAAATTTGAATTTTATTCCCTTTACTATTAGTGAGTTTATATGTATGTCAAGAACCTACAGATATGTTCTGTTTTTAACACTGTAAGTGAAAGTGTTATCCACATATCTCCACCATATTTTTAGAGTAAGATTAAACGCATTTAGAGCAATATATTCCCAGCTGTCCATAAAGTTGTGTGAGTGAGTACCTTGATATGATTATTAGGGGGCAATAAATTGTGCTCGAAACATGCTCATCAGTAAATGGACTAAGTCAACTCCTAGCTTAGTGATAGGGAGTGAAGTGATAGAACATGTTAACCACTTCACCTATTTGGGAAATTGTATCAGCACCAACGGATTGATTGGTGACGAAATCTCAGCACGGATCCAAAGAGCTCGACCTGCTTCCGCTAACTTACACCATCTCTGGCGTAGGCGTGACATCCGGCTATCAACCAAGGGACGTGTGTACTGCTCAACAGTTCGCTCCGTCCTTCTCTATGGCTCTGAAACATGGCCAATACGAGTTGAAGACATGAAAAGGTTGACTGTCTTTGATCACAGATGTCTACGATCTCTTTCTCACGTTAGGTGGTATAATAAGGTAAGTAATGTTGACGTTAGGCGTAGAGTGTTGGGCAAAGAGGGAAAATCAATCGACGAGGCTATGAATTTACATAGATTGAGATGCGTATGCCTAACCATCTCCTCCCCCGATGCGCATTACTAGCTGATGTAGGTGCAGGTTGGAAAAGAGTAAGTGGTGGCCAAACAAAAACATGTCCTCATCAATCCATGAAATCCTTGACAGTTAAACTGAGTCAGGTAGGGAGGGAGATGCAGACTTTCGGGTTGGGGCCCACCCTCGGGACTCTAAGAATCAATGGCTGGAGACAATAGGTGACATGGCTCAAAATCGTTGCCAATGGCTTACTCAGATGTATTCAGTCTCTGTAATCTTTCATATTCCTTTCTACCATTACTCATTCTGTTTCACTCTTATACTTGTCAAAGTCTTCATAGATTGATATCATGCTTTAATCTGACCGCTCCCAACTCTTTTCCAACCTAATAATTATGATGCTAGGAATTTTTGTCTAGGCTACTGTATAAACGAAATGGTATACAGAAATGTGATAAGCCCTCCCCCCACCCCACAAACACACACACATACAAATTAAAACCACTTATGCATGAATAATAATTTTTAAAAAATATGCAAAAACAAACCAACTTACTAAATGCATTATGAGTACTCTTCAATTTATTTTTACAAGGTTCTACACCATGGTAAGTTTTTAAACACATAGGACAAAAGCTTAATTCACAACGAGGACATCGTCCAAGACTGTCTGAATCTAAGATCACTGGATATTCACACTGTTGACGGGGACAAGCAACTACATCTGGCATAAAGTCTAAGCCGCGTTTCAAGATTAAATTTTCATATCTATCGTGTAAATCTTCAGGTAGAATATAACGAACCTAAACAAACAAATTGGGAAAAGGAAAAGTTGAAGCAAAAAATATACAAAATAATACATTGAACACAACTAGTAGGTAGTAACTGTGTTACGACAGAAGATAAGGGCCAGACAACAGATTGGTTATTGGGAAAATCAATAGATATTTACAGATTTTTATGTGCATCATTATTAGCATTATTGTTAGGAGAAAAGCAGCCTCTTCTGATTGGTTGTTTTCTTGCTCAAGGTTATTCTGTACTATTTGTGACGGTTTTTAGAAAGTTAAGCCATATATCTGCGAATCATATTTCGACACGTTGATTCTGCTGTAATTGGCTGGTGATTTTCTCAAGGTTAAGCTTTGTTATTGTTTTTTCTCCTGACCCTGATTCGGGACGTGAACATATTGACGTAAATTGTTGTCTACAATTCCGGCTTGCAGACAGCTCTCACCACAACTCACTAAAGACCATCGAAAGGCGGTTGAAAGACTAAGCAAAAGTAGAGGCACAGTCATTAGCAGACTGGACAAGGGTCATGGGGTAGTAATTGTGGACAGATATGCTTCCATAAACAAGATGAGTTCCGTACTAGAGGACGACAGCAAGTTTCAGAGACCAAAACTATTGAAAAATCAAACGGAGATGGTGGAAAAAGACATAACGAACTTTACCGAAGGAATTAAGACGAAAAGGGCATATCTCACCACCTCATCGACTGGCCTTCCCACCTAACACTACCCGTAACCTGAATAATGTTCATCTTGTTATACCTGACTGACTGGTTTAAACATAGAACTTTGCACCGATGTGCAACAGTTCAAGTGGCCACACTTCACTTAGCACACAAAGCAAGAAAAGAAAGTAAAAAGAAATCCAAAACAGAGATATGAGGCAAAAGAGTAATAATATTGAAGAACAATATAGTTTTATTGGATATTATAAGTCACAAGGAGTGGATGCTTCTGCTCCACTGAGAAAGATTTTGAGCTAGACATATCACCGATTGTCTCCAGTCTTCATTGGTTCTTACCATCCCGAGGATCCCGATCAGCCAAGACAGCCTACACCTTCCTACGTGACTGGTTGGCTTAAACTAACCGTTGTGGATTTCATTGACTGATGAAGCCATGCTTTGGTTTGACCGCCTCCAGCTCTCTTTTCTCCAACCTCATCCTATGTCAGCCAACATTGCCTGTCGAGGAAGGCGATGGTCAGATATACGTAACACACGTCCTAGCCATCTCAATTGATGAAGCTTCTCAGCTTCAACTATTGATTCTCCCCCTCCCCCTTACCTAGCACTCGACGTCCAACCTCAATATTACTCACTATATTATACCACTTCACACGGGAAACAGAACGCAGGCACATATGATCAAAGACAGCTAGCCAGGCTTTTTATGTCTTCCATTATTTAATAGCCATGTCACAGCTAGTCGTAAAGGAGGACGGAGCGGACTGCTGAGCAGTAAACACACACACACACCTCGGTCATATTATACCACTTAACGCATGAGATAGAGATCGAACATCTGTCATCAAAGACAGCTAGCCTGTTTTTTCATATCTCCCACTTTCAATGCCCGCATCTCACAGTCATAAATGGAGGAGAAGGACAGAGAGAACTACTAAGCACTTTCAACTATCAAAAGTTTAATAGTAAAGGGTAAAAAAACAACTACTACTACAATAGTATTTTAAACTGATACTCACCTCTGAATGACTAACTTCTTCACTGCACTTTAAACAAGACAAGGTACCATTAAACAATGACTCTCTTATTGATATTTTAAAACACTCTAGTGTACAATCCCTGCAAATTGAACACTTACATTTCATAAAACGAATAAATTCACTGCCTTTTTTAATTTCAAAGCATACAGGACATTCAATAAATGCTTCATCATAATCAATATCAAGACGATCTTCATTATTCGATAGCAGGAGGTCACAATAATCTTGTAGTGATAGAGATATATCATCTTTGCAGGAGTATTCATTATAAAAATTGAAAAGATTGAAGGTTTGCCTTTGCTTTTGCTGACGACAACAACTTTCACCAAATTGTTTAATTAAATAGTTAAAAGATTCATTTTGCAGGAATTCTATACACGACAACAAGGTCATTTCACCAAGATTTTGATTGGCTATTTCAACTAGTCTCTCTTTCAATTCATTAAGGATAGATATTGGCAACCAGATTGAGGATAAAGCGAATTCAGGAATAGAAATACCTGGAATATCTCCAGGATAATTCAGCGGGAGGTTGAATGTCATAACAAGAGCAGGTAAATAATGCAGAAGGTAACAACAGCATGTTTTATGACCTTCTGATGATGATGATGATGTTGAAGGCTCCACAGTTGAGGTATTTCTTAGCTTGATTCTTGTTGTCGGTCCATACATTTCAATAGGTTTGATGAAGTGTGGATGAAATGTGAACGACCCATGCCTTGATAGCTTATCATAGTTAAAGATGGCGGAATTTGGAGTACCATCAAACATTGAAGAGAGGAATTCAATTTCTAAGCTTTGTATATCATCATTATCATTGTTATTATTGGCGTCATAATCAGTATATGACATACCACCACTAAAAGCCAAGAAAGATGACGACAGGAATCTAGATGAAGCGTAGGTAATATTCGCAGAGTTATGTGATAAATAAAACTTGATTCACTGACGTAAAATACCATCAAAATACATTATATTCTTAAAGACTGTCAGAACAATGTCTGTCTGGATTCAACATAGAACTTGGCACCAAAGTGCAGCAGTTCGAGTTGCCACGTTCCAAATACCACACAAAGGTAGACAAGAAAATGAGTGAAGAGAATCAATAGAGTTTTGACCAGTATAAGAGTGAAACAGAGTGAGTAATGGTAGAAAGGAATATGAAAGATTACAGAGACTGAATACATCTGCGTAAGCCATTGACAACGATTTTGAGCCATGTCACATATTGTCTCCAGCCATTGATTCTTAGAGTCCCGAGGGCCCCAACCAGTCAGGAAGTCTGCATCTCCCTACCTGACTCAGTTTAACTGTCATGTTTGTTTGGCCACCACTTACTCTTTTCCAACCTGCACCTATATCAGCTAGTAATGCCCATCGGGAGAGGCGATGGTTAGGCATGCGCAGCACTTGACCTAGCCATCTCAATCTATGTAACTTTATAGACTCGTCGATTGATTTTCCCTCTTTGCCCAACACTCTACGCCTAACGTCAACATTACTTACCTTATTATACCACCTAACGTGAGAAAGAGATCGTAGACATCTATGATCAAAAATAGTCAACCTTTTCATGTCTTCAACTCGTATTGGCCATGTTTCAGAGCCATAGAGAAGGACGGAGCGAACTGTTGAGCAGTACACACGTCCCTTCGTTGATAGCCGGATGTGGACGCTTTATAGCTGACTCGCTGAGTTTCAACACAGAACTTTGCACAGAAGTGCAGCAGCTCAAGTTGTCACCCTTCATGTAGCACATCAAGGTAGACAAAACAGGAAATTAGGTTCAAAAAATTATCACAAGCAGAAATGTGAGGGACGGCTTAGAGGATACAGGGGATAGTGAATGCATCTGCGCCATCCATTGAGAACGATTTTGAGCCATATCACCACCAATAGTCTCCAGCCAATGGTTCTTAGCATACCAAGGACTCCAACTAGTCAGGAAGTTTACACCTTCTTACACGGCCCAGGCCAGTGGTCAAAAGCTTCATGGATTTATCCCAGATTTTGATTTCACCACCACTAAACTCTTTTTCAACCTATTCCTATTTCAGCTAACGTTTCTCGTTGAGAAAGATGGTAAGCCTGATATGCAAAACATGTTCTAGCTCCATACTAGTTTGTTTATTAGATGTATCACACAGTGAAACACTATTATTTACTGGATGACACAGTTTCGAACAAAATTTATTATTCATAATCATATCAATTGTAATCACATGACTTTGACACTTAAGTTTTATAGTTTTCTTTGTCTTCTCCTATTTGTCGTAGGGGTAGTAGAATTTTCCAGAAATCTGGATGGACAGGTGATGAATCATTCCTATTACACGTATTTGCAGTTGATTCGATAATTAAATTTTCCGTTATCAATCTCTCCCTCCACCCTGCGACATTAGATTTTAAAACTGTCATCCTATCCCATCCCATCCTATAGTATGGTTGTGTGTAACTGCATGTGGTGCTATAGCTGAACTATTCTCTATATTTCTTATCTTATTCGGGTCAACTGATCTAGATTTTGCTAGGTTTTTATGTTCTGCTAGTCTGACTGCACCTGTTCTACTAGTTTGACCTGACAATCATTACAGGCAGGGTATTAGATTAACTAAATTGTTTTGTTTTAAAGGCTCCACTGTCAGGATCCTTTAACCGACAAAGCTTGTTTCTAATTGAGTTTGTGGGTTTGAATGCCAGCCACTTTATCTCTGCCTGCCTTGTTAAGAATTCTGCGTAAGGTGGTTTCCAAGGTTTCTTCCTTGTATGGAATTAGTACTGATGATTTAGATTCCTTATTGTTTGTGTTGTCATTATCCTGTGCATGTTTGACATGCACGTCCTCATTAATATTATAATCACTATCACCACTACTATCATAATTATTTGCATTTTTACATTTTCCTACATACTTTCCTGACTAATTTATCAGGGTAATTATTAAGTTTCAAAGCTTCTATTATATGCCTCACTTCCTGCCTTAGATTTTCCTTGGTGCTGGACAAAAAAAGAAGCCTTGAAACTTAATAATTACCCGGATAAATTAGTCAGGAAATATGTAAGGAAATGTAAAAATGAAATAAATAATGACGGTAGCGATAGTGATAATAATAATAATAATAATAATCATGACGACACCAACAATAAGGAATCGAAATCATCAGTAGTCATTCCATACAAGGAAGGAACCTCGGAAACCTTACGCAAAATTCTTAACAAGGCAGGAATAAAAGTGGCCGGCATTCAAACCAGCCACAAAATCAATTAGAAAGAGGCATTGTCGGTTACAGGATCAATCCTGTGGAGCCTTTAAAACAAAATAGGAATGATTCAACACCTGTCCATCCAGATTTCTGGAAAATTCTACTACCCCAACGACGACAAATAGGAGAGGACAAAGGGAACTATAAAACTCAAGTTTCAAAGTCGTGTGATTACAATTGATATGATTATGAACAATAAATTTTGTTCGAAACTGTGTCATCCAGTAAATAATAGTGTTTCACTGTGTGATACATCTAATAAACAAACTAATATGGAATTACTCACTACTACAGTGCCCGTTTTACACATATATTAACATGTTCTAGCTGTCTCAATCGATGTAGCTTCTACAACCTTACCTAACGCTACGTCTAACCTCGATACTACTCACCAAATGATACCGCTTCACCCGTGAGATAGAAAGCGAACGTCTGTGATCAAAGACGTTTTATGATTAGGCTGGTGCCACGAAAATATATTGCACCAATAAATGCACTCTACTCGAACTCATGCAGTTAGCCAGGTGAGAGCTTATGGAGAGTTGTTATCTGAAGTGGTGATAACTAGTGGTGTCCGTCAGGGATGCTCACCATTGTCTCCATTTCTGTTTAATTTCATCATACATGTACTAATGGACTTAACCCTAAGTGACTTAAGAGACTCAGGGGACAAGATGCATTAGGACTTGCATTTAGTCAAAAGTTAGATCCTATCCTGAACAGTGATACAGGTGATTAGTCACAGAATGGAAGTAAATCGATCTACGGCGCATGGGGAGCTACTCAGACAGAAGTATATATTAAAACTGGACTCTTACGGAAGTTTGAATTGGCGGTAGGACGATGGAAGTTGGTTGCCGGTAGAACCTCAGTTCTTACGCTATGAGATGATAGAAGAATACCACCAGCTAACATATACAGGCGTAGCCAGACCAACTGACCTATTGAGATAAAGTATGTACTGACCAGGTATGACAGACATTACAAAATATGTACTGGGACTTCTGTAGTATCAGTTGATGAAGGAGGATGAATGCATATGATTGTGTCTTCGGTCCATTCCAGTTACAACAGTAGACGATTTGTGGTCTGTGGATGTAAAAGGTTCTTCTTCGGAGACATACAGTAGCAATCAGAACCTTCTACTGATGGTAACGGAACACGCTACACGATGGGTAGACCGTCACTAACCCGTATCGACGCTCAAAGACTATGAATGATGCGGTGATTCGACGAATCGTTGGAGCCCAAAATATACCACAGACGTTTTTTTTAACAAATAAATGTCCTTTTATTAGAAGTGTAGAGGTTACTATGTGCTTGTAGTAGCTGGGTGTTAGGTTGATTAGGACAACTTAATAGCATTCACACACTAGCCGTTTGGGAGAAAGAAATAACTGTACGCTCAAAAAGTGACTGACTTCAGAGGGGTGTATTTGGAAGAGAGGGCTACATCGACTGAGATGGTTAGGACATGTGTTACGTATGCCTAGTCATCGCCGGGCAATGTTAGCCGATATAGGGTAAGGCTGGAAAAGAACTAGCGGCGGTCAAACGAAAACATGGCACCAGTCAATGAAATCTACAACAGTTAGTTTAAGCCAGTCACGTATGAAGGTGTAGACTTCCTGACTGGTTGGGTTCCTGGGGACGGTAAAAACCAATGGCTGGAAACAATTGGTGATATGGCTCAAAATCGTTCTCAATGGCTGGTGTAGATGCATCCACTCCTTGTGACTTATGATTTCCAGTTAAACTGCTTCGTTCTTCGTTATTATTATTATTTTTTTGGAATACAGCTTGATTCCACACCGTATTTTTTGGTACAGGTATGGAATTTTCAGCATGTGACATCGGTAGCCCAAATTTTGCAGGCCGACCATAGATATCAGGTGTGCGTCGCCAGGGGATCGAACCTCGGACCATGTGCATGGTCGGCAAGAGTCCTAACCACTGTACCTTTGTCTTACACCTCTGTTTACTGTCGGTCGCACAGTGATTAGGACTCTCGCCGACCATGCACATGGTCAGGGGTTCGATCCCCTGCCGACGCACACCCGATATCTATGGTCGGCCTGCAAAATTTGGGCTGCCGATATCCATGCTGAAAATTCCATACTTGTACTGAAAATACGGTGTGACATCAAGGTGTAATCAGAATTAAAAAAAATAAAATATATTATGCATTTCTTCTACTTTCTTTTCTTGCTTTGTGTCCTAAATGGAGTGTGGCGACTTGAACCGCCGCACATATGTGCAAAGTTCTATGTCGAAAACAGACAGATATCTGTCACTTACATTTGCTGATAACTCATTTGTCGTCCCATTAAACTCTTCTGGAGGTGGAACAGCATGGATTCCTACCTGGACGATCCTGCCTGGCAAACTTACTGTTAGCTAGGAAAGATTGGGTCGAAGCCAGGGATAATAACCATCTATTGGACGTTGTATTTATCGATAAGGTAACCCACTCAGGTCTTCTTAGTAAACTCAAACACTTTGGATTTAACCAACGCCTATGTGAGTGGTTTAACGACTACCTGATGGATAGAAGGCAGAAGGTAAGGGTTAATGGTGTACTATCAGGGTGGAAAGCAGTACTAAGTGGAGTACCTCAGGGCACCATAATTGGCCCCCTGCTATTCCTATTATACGTAAATGAAGTGCCGAAAATTCCTACCTCATCTTCCCCACTATTTGCGGACGATATTAAGATATGGAAAACTGTAAATAATAACGATGGTAAGGTTTGGTGCTACAAAACGATCTAGATAAATTTGCTGAATGGGCTAACCTCTGGAGTCTGGGAATTAATTCCAAGAAAAGCGTGGTAATGCACGTAGGTCGGAAGTCTTACACGTCGTACTCCATGGGGGACACAGAACTGCCAGATGTTAAGAGATAAAAGGACTTAAGAATTATTGTAAGCCATGACTTAACGGCAAATTGTAATCGAGCCTCAGCAAAGGCTTTTCGAATGCTATGGGCACTTCTAAGGGCTTTCAAACGGTTAGACGAGGGTATGTTCGAAGTACTGCATGCAACATATATCAGACCGCATCTAGAATACTCCATACAAGCGGTGAGTGCATGCTTCAAAAAGGAGAAACATCCTGGTTAAAGTACAGAGGGTAGGTATCACACCTTCCTTATGATAAGAGGATGGAGCATTTAAATCTCTTCCCATTATCATACCGAAGGAGGAAAAGCGTCTTAACTTTGGCATACCGTATAATCAAGGGTGATTTAGGGATTAACCTTTCAAATCTTTTCTCTCCTTCTAAGATACTTTTACGATGTCACTACAAGAAGGTGCTCAAACCAAGGTCAAACAAAATACATGTGGAGTTTAGATTCTCTCAGAGTGATCAACGACCGGAACTCCTTACCTGATTCATTAGTAGCAGCTCGATCGAAGAACGATTTCAAAGAGAAACTGGATCTCTTCAGAGATATATATCGCAAGGATTAACACGGACAACAAGAGCTTTCTATCCTTATAATCTGAATCTGGTCACAGACAACTACTCCTTATTATAAATCTTTGTAGAGCGAGTTCACGCCAATTATTACTGAACATTTTTTGAAAGAGCTAGAATAACATATATATATATATATATATATATATATATATATATATATATATAATACCCTGGTTCATGTAATAGCTGACCATTCTCAAGTAAAAATAGGTAAGGGTGAAGTGTGGTTGAAGTTAAACTATAGTAATCACTCTGACATGAGTGTTTCAGTCAGTATGACCAAATCAAAAAAGGCTTTTCTTAAGATTTGCCTAATGAGTTTCAGGAGGAAAGACTATTAGATTGCTGCGTAAATAATAGATCGCGTAGAATGAATAGACCTGTATCTATAGACAAAGGCTTGACAAGATATTTGGTCTCTCGCAAGGATTGAGATTATAAAGTAGAATTAGGTCTACTGAGGCAGAAATATAAACCAGTCTCAAGACACCACATCTACAGTCATCTTTTTTAATTATTGCACCTTAACATTGCAGTGTGGTTAGTTGCCCAGTCAGAGTTATGATTGACTGGGGTGGCTGATATCGCTAAAATTCGCTCACTTAATACCGAAGAAATAACAATATCCAACTACTAATGTGCCCTTATAAACTGATCCATGGATAAATATATATATTTATGTATACATTTAAATGTTTAGATTTTCACCAAAGATATAGACCTTTAATACACTAAATAAATGTCAAACAACAGAATTTTCGACACTTTTCGCATTGTCTTTGAGTTTCCACGAAATTTCTGCACTTTGCCTCAAAGTATCACAAATTTGTGGTTTAAACTACAAGAAAACAAGAATATTTCACTCAAAACCTCAGAAGTATTGTTATGTCTTTCAGTTTTTTTAAAGTACACTGCCTTACACAATGCTTCCTATACATTCACCCATTGTTATTGTTGTTGTTTTAGCACTACCTTTTATTTTTTAATGTGGTAACAAAATCGATATTAAAAAATCTGCCAAAACATTGACCTCTCAAGGTCGTATCGGATTTCAGATTCAGATTTATTGGTTGAGGATAGAAGGCTTGGAGCCTATGTTAATCCTTTTCTAGTAGATTTCCGTGGTTTTTCAAACCCTTCTTGATGAATCAATCGAGGTTGCAGACACCACTTCTTCTGGGAGTCGGTTCCAAGAGTTTGACTTGGTGTGAGAACCAGTAGTCAATAGACCTGGTGGGAAGGAAAAGAGTGAATAGGTCAGGTCCGTAATCATTTTAAAAAAATTTTAAACATTGTGATTAAATCTCCTCTCTGCCTGCGGTATTACAGGGAGAAGAGATTTAAACTGTTTAGTCTTTCCTCATATGATGAGTTAGTCATGCTGAGAACTATACGTGTTTCCTTCCTTTGTACCCTTTCTAGAATGTGTGAGTCCCCTTTAAGACAAGGAATGGCTGCCTGTATACAGTTTTCTAGTCTTGACCTTGTAGCGGTAAATAATTCCACATCAACTTTTTTAAATAGCAAATACAAGTAAAAAAATTTTTTATATAAACCTACATGTTACATGCACTAAAAAAATTAGACATATACTTTTTTCGACGTCCTAAATTTTGCATTATTTTACTGTATGGTAGATGCACATTATTTTTTACGCGCTGATTTGGTACATTTTCCTCAACAAGGTTCTTAGCATCCTTGTTTTCGTTTTCAGGTGCGACGGGCAGTGGACAAGAATCAAACGAATCACGAGATCCAACGGACAAATCTCGTTGAAGCTATGTACAGGCACCCCATTAGCATAGGTAGACGGACCAGTAGGCACTCCACCAAGCCGCCCGGAAGAGTTTTTCTCACCCAAAAAGAAACCATCGAGCTTTTTACTTCCGGCTGGTTCTGTCTTAGGGTCCTCACAACCCCACTAGGGGGTGTGAGCTGTAGCGGTAAATAATTCCTCAAAATTATTGCCCACAGCAGTCGTCACTGACCATCACTGTTTAAATGGACTTGTTTAGCAGAAGGCTTCCGGTCAAGCATCCACGCCAGTTGGTACTCTGTCGCGTCACGCGCGTGCACGATCACTAGCCAGTTAAGCACTCATTTCGGTCTACGATTTGGTCCCAAGATAGATCTCGTAGTTTGGACGATCAAATTCTGTTGTTTTGTTTTGCCTTTGGTCCACGAGGAGCGAATACTATAGAAGTTGTTGGTATTCGATCTTCCGTTGGTATACTCCACACAATCCGCGAACGTCAATACCGTCAGCCTCTAAAACCTCACTGGGATGCATATAACGAGGTGAACATATCTCCGAGAATGTCCATAAGGATCTGAAACTACGTGCAGCCACCACGTGACAGTGAGCTGTGGTTTTTAAATCGTGACTTACTATGACACCTAAATCTAAATGAGCCTGATCTGACGGGAGTGTTATTCTTTCTAGATCGTAGTAACTGATGCTCGCGTGTCCGATGCGCATGGTTGCACATTTCGCTACTTTGATATGGAACATCGATTCTCTGAACCTCTCTGAAAATTTGTTGAGGTCCTCTTGCAACGTGGACGTATCGCTGTCGCCATTCAGCTCTCTCCAAATTTTTAAGTCATCTGCGTATAGGACCATAGGGGAGTCGGTGAGTAGAGATAACTCACTGATATACAAAATAAATAGGAGAGGCCCGAGTACCGTGCTTATGGAACTCAGCTATGCTCTACTGTTCAGGAAGAGAGTTTCGAGTTGATCCTAACCCTCTGCCTCCTATTTATGAGAAATTCCATAAGCCCGTTTAGTAATCTGCCTTTGATACCAAGACTTTCCAACTTCATGAGTGGTCTTTTGTGAGGTACTTTATCAAAGGCTTTGCAGAAGTCTATGAAGACGACATCAACCGGTCTTCTGTTGTCCCTTGATTTGACCCAACTTTCTCTTGTAGCGAGGAGATTTGACAGTCATGAAACGTCTCTTCGAAAGCCATGCTCTGCTCTGGATTACATTTTGTTGTTTTCTAGATATGCCATGATGCTTTTCATGATGATTCTTCCCAGTGTCTTGATTGAAGTGTTGGTGAAACTTATAGGTCTGTAATTCGAAGGGCTTTGTCTCGATCCTCCTTTGTGGATGGGGGTCACTATGGCGTCTTTCCAGTCACGTGGTAACACTCCATTTAGGAGAGATAGCTTGAAGATCGTGGCCAAGGGGCCGGTTATGTGAGATGATAGCTCCTTGAGGAGCCTTGGATGAAGATTATCAGGACCCATTGATTTCCCTGCATCCGGTTTCATTAGGCAATTGAGCACGATGTCTTGGTCGACGACGTCAAAGGAATCTATCCTGTGATCCTCTGATGCAGCCAGAGCTGATCCTATGGGGAGTGACGACTCCTGTGTAAAGATTTGTGAGAAGTAGTCTGCCATTGCTTCTGCTTTTTCTTGATCTTCTTCGATTGTGTCATTGTCATTAGTCAGGCTTGGGACACCATTGGACGTTTTATTCTTGAAGTTCATGTACGGGAAAATTTTCTTAGGTTGTGCCTTTGCATTTTAAGCCAGATGTGCTTTGAACTTTATCCTTGATTGGCGGATTTCTGCAAAAGCTGTATTCCTAGCAGTGCTGCTGATCTAGGGAGTCTCAGGTGGGGTGAACAGGTTCCAGCATTTGTGTTTACGTCTGAGTAATTTGCGGATCTCTCGGTTTATCCAAGGGAGGCAGTGTTTCCGACCCTTTGAGACCAACCAAGGGATGAAAGGTTCAGTTGTTTGGATGTAAAGTTGCTCTAACTTGTCCAGGGTTGAAGAGGAGTGCTGTGAGTCACAGCGCGTGGGCTTCATGACATGTTGGAGCAGGGCTAGCGAAATGCTAGATTCCAGAAGTTTATGATCAAAGGATTTGTCTGTAGATGGCGTTGTGAAGCTTGTCCAGTCGACCGTTGGGGCGTTGAAGTCGCCGACTACGAGACTTAGACATTTCGATGTCCAGGGGCCTAGTTCCTCTCTCTGCACTGCAGTCAGGACTGCAGCATATAGCAGTGAGGTCAATATCTTGGCCTATTCATTTAAGTCGGCAGCGCAGAAGTTCGCACGATTCACTTTCCTGAGCAAATGATTCTATGCTACGCACTAAGCATTTCTTGAGGTATATGACTGACCACGCCAACTACTTTGTGGCCTAGTCGGTCCACTCTATGCACTTCGAAGTTTGGAGGGTTAACTTGGTAATCAGTGACATCGGAAAAGGCAATGTCTCTATGATGATAACTACATCCCGATTTTTGGAGTCTATCATGTTAACCAGCTCAGTTCGTGGCGTAGGTTTCTTTCGTCCTTAGTGAACAGTGTGGCCATTATGGTGTCCTTATCTTGCTTTCGCCGGAGAGCACATGACGTCATTCATTGGCGTCCTCCTCGCTATCTGTGTTTGGTTATGTCTACCTGCTGTACATCGATGTGAATGACCTACAGGTTCGTACTGGGGACTTCGGCTGCGGGTTTTCTACCACTGGTACGCCTTTTCCTCGTGCCAGCCTTTCAATTACTGTCACTGAAGGGTTTATTGGGTATCTTAGTGATAGCATGGGTCTCGGAATATGATGAATGCTCTTCTGTGCTGAAGGGCACTCACTCCTTGACGGAGACGTGTCAGAAACGTGTATTGTCTTGTCAATGATGCTAGCCACGTCATCGGTATCTGAGCAGTAGTCGCTCTCCTCCTGTGGTGGAGTACCCTTGCAGTCACTGAGCTTTAGAGCCCCAATGGGAATGGCAATGACTTGCGTTACACAAAAACTAGTAATGCAGCATTCACTGCACAGCCAGTTCGCCAGAGGCTTGCAACAGCTTTGTATGCTGCAGGAGTTAGGTTTGTGAACATGCTATGAGACCATCTCTCGGAGCTATCACACTTCATTTCTTCTTCAACTGGGAATCGACACAAAACTCTTCCACAGGGGTTCCTTTTGATGGACATGCTTTTCAGAGTGAATTATGACAAGAGATTCAACTATGACCTTATATATATGACCCTCATACAAACCAGTGATTAAAGACCAATGAGTGTACAAAAATGGATATAAGTAACTGTAAGGTTATAAGAACACACAACTTCCTATAATTAAATAGACTAAAAGCTGAAAAGTAAACCAAATTCTATCAGAATAGACTGATTTAAAGTTAATCTATAGACTTTTGGAGAGCATAACACAACAAAAGCTGAAATTAAACAAGAGCGTGTAAAGTTCACATCCTTTTCAAGGTTCGCGCGATAGCGAAATATATGACTTCTGAAGTCTTCTTACCTGCCCAACGTATCACTGTCGTCTAGCTGCCAAAGGAGAATGTACCACATAATCCAGTCCACCACAATTAGAAAATAATAGGTGATAATAGGGATCCCTGTCTTAATCCTGTGTTGACTTCAAGCGCTTCACTGAGATTTCCGTTGTGGATCACCTGAAAAGTGCCACTGTCATACAGCTGCTGAATGGAGCTGACAAAGATTTGGCGTACTGCACGCCGTAGTGTTTAAGTAGGCTCCCAATCACCTAGCTATCAATACCGTTGGAGGCGTTTCCATATTTGATGGAACTGAGATTGGGATTTGACTGCCATTCTACGCTCTGTTTGGTGATGATATGTGGAGGAGAAGTTCCGCATCCAATGCACCTTTTGTTCTCTCTAGGATGACAAGTATCCACATAGACGCTACGTAAAGTCTACACTTTGCTTTTTAGTTTCGTCCGTCAGTTGCTGGGTGTTTAACTTCAGTTGTGGCCTGTCTCCAGTCTCTTCGAAGGCTTTTAGTTCGGCCTTGAAGGTTTTCCGGACTAGATAATAGTCTGAGCCCACAACTGCTCCTCTTCTCGACCTTGTGTCCAGCAGACTCCACTTAATTGAGCAACATTAATGTGAAGACTATAAAATTTAGTGTGTCTGTCAGGCGCAATCCATGTTGCTTTGTGTACATCCTTGTGGGAAAACACTCTATTGCTAAGGCTCCTGAGTTTGAATAACCTCCACAAAAAGAAAAAGAAAAGCTGCCCGTATGCCACAGCTTGTGAATTAACTCTCTGAAAACAAGCTCATTATATGATTTCTCTACTCCAGAAGGACATCTAAATGTATAAATCATAACGACAGCATAAAGAAAATATTATTATACTTTCTCTTTTCTTCTATGTATTTTATGTACTTTGGATTTAATTTCTTCATTTTCTGTTCCCAGCATTACCCTATATAGATGAAAACTCATCACCATCGTTCGTTTCTCTCCAATTTTTCACTTTATTTTATTTACATATATTTTTACTACCACAAACTTGTACTAACCGTCAATATGTAACACTATAAAATTCAGTGACTATTAATTCTTATTAATAAAAAAGGGTTATGAACCCTGCGGTAATCGCATATTGTTTGTTTAAATTATTGTTATTTGCTGGCTGCCTCTGCACCTCTCTTGCTGTTTTCTTTTTCTTCCCTTTTCGAAAGTATTGCATTGGAGCAATGCAAATGTACAGTGATGCTTCTTTCTATGTTTGTATTACTTGAACGATATTCAGAATATTGTTAGCACATACGATGAAGAACGGAACAAATTCCATTGTGAAATCTGTTTATCACCGCAAAGTTGGTCTCATGTATCTGCTAATACAAAAATAATGCTGTACTTACCCTCTACTATGGAGTTTTATAAATTTTCGGGCAAAGTTAAACTTTCGACACCAATAAAAACCAATCAGCAAACAACCTTGGACGGACCAATCACATGAAAGAGGCGTTTATGGTAAGTGGAAGCGTATATTTATAAAAAATGCATAAAAAAGGATAAAACGGTTACAATGGGTATCTTTCCATACAGGAACATTTCCCAATTCAGCATGGGACTGTCAATAGAGAAGTCGCACCACATTCTATACATATATTTGTCTAAATGACTATAAATCAGATCCTTTTGCGTTCCATTTATAGGCCGGATCCTATTTTTCAATCAACTTCAAAATCCTTCAATGGAATTTGTATGAGTCCCTGTAACTGGATCCACGAAATCACTGGAGTGGTTCACTCTGTGATGAATGTATCCCAGGGATGACAATGAATTGTAACCTTTCCACTCGTCGGTATGTACAATTGATCCCCTTTTGACAAGTCGCATATCAGAGTACTCGCCTTCCTGTCTGCTATTCTTTCAACAAATCCTTTTTAGGGGGACGTGTCGTATAGACCTATTACCCAAGTGTTGTTCGCTCTCTGACGACCACGGTTATATTCCTTCTTCACCAACACAGTCTCATCCACATGCACTACTACGTCCTCCCCGCCTAACAACGAAGTAACTCCCTCCATTTTCCATGAGGCGATGTCTCTACAGTGCTGATACCATTGGACTGTTGAGACGAGACTATTCTCCGTCTCTGAAGCTGCCGCTCTCACTAGCTGCTTCAATACCCAACAGTTGCAGATATACAAAATCTAAGTTAGAGGGAGATGCGACCTAGGAAAAAAGTTCCTACGAAATATTAAAAATAGCAGCTTACCCCCTCTAATACTAACTCGCTTCCAGCATATTCCACAACGATGTACAGAACCATCGGTTGACCTCGTAAAGCCTTTTAGAGTCATTACACCACCACGCGGACAACTTCTCTCCTTTCGAAGCAAGCCTAAGTCCAGGCAATACTGAAATACACTATCCTCCTCGAATTGCAAACGCAACCTTGCAAGGGAACGCATTGTAAATGAATCAAGCGCTATACAACATTGAACTACGTTCGTGAATCTCATTGGATAATTCGACGTCGTTCGCTGATTGGTAGTTATCGCTGCCTAAAGTTTAACTTGGCCAATTTTCGGACCCTTATTAATTGATCAAATGATAATGATCGTAAGCTCTGCATCCTGTGTGTCTTACTCAATCACCTGAGTACCACCTCTCTTCTAACCTTCCATTAACGCAACCGTTCATAATTCCCCCATGAAGTTGACTGACTATAAGTATATTATAGATTAAAATTTACACATAAACCAATATCCTGTAACCTATTCGATTAAAAGTAAATATTACAAACGTCGTATAAAGCTTCTGGAGTCTTTTCTCCATTTTTTCCATTTTTAATGTCATAAAACAGTGTTCCATTCCAAATTGCACTTGTCAAATATGATCATGCCTGTACAAACGGTATGTCAGTCATGTAATTTATGTGAATTAAATGTTATTATTATTACACCCTGCCCTCAATCACCAAATCATTGAAAGCGCAGAAGTCTGCGAATAATCTCTGTTCTCATTCATCTTGCCGAGCCAGAATCTCTCGACCCATGATGAGTTCTCTCCCTGTACAACCAGGTCGCAGTTTGGCGTTCATGACTCCCATGAGGATTTTGATGTCACCATTTGGGATGTTGTTCATTACCGCTTGTAGTTGTCATTGGAAATCTGCCTTCCCCTCTTGTTCTGAGTTATTTGCAGGTGCGGAACACTGGATAATTGTAAACTTCCTTCATTTTAGGTTGAATATTGCTGTCATGACATTGAGTGAAATTGGTTCCCACAGCATTAGGGCTTTGGCTGCCACTGGTGACACAGTGATAGCCAATCACTGCCTTAGTGTGCTCATGGTTTTCGTCTGGGTGACCAGAACGGATTAGATTACTGAATTTTCAGTTGATAATTTGGATAGTGCACAGCCATTCTAACTGCTCTCACAGATCCCTCACTCGTCCGTGCCGTATTTTTTATTTTTTCCGCAATCTAGCTGGGCCGCGTTCCCAGCCTGGTATACTTTACTGGTATTCCACTTCCTGATGGTTATTTTGAATTTAGTCGGGAGAAGACTGGCTGGCTGAATTCCCGAAAGCTTTCACCAGCCCGCCGTGTCATTTCGTCTGTCCGATTCCGGGGAAGTATGAGTTTTTTGTGGTTTTGTTGTGATTTGAAGTTTCTGTAGGGATTAGATTGATCTTCGGAAACAGAGTTCCTAGACCCATACCCGAACCTCCCTCTTCTCTCGGGTATGGGACTGGCTAGAAAACTAACAAACCAGTAAACTACGTGAGGCTGTGTTCACAAAGTGAATGTGGCTGACTAAGTGAAGAGTTTAACTGTCTTGAAAATTACTACTCGAATACTCACCAGATTTCAGTTGATAAATGAAATTCATAAAATGTGTAAATTTATTTGGAAACATCTTAAATAGGTTATAAAAATCTTGCACTGCGTGCAATAGCTTGTATATAACGCTTCGGCAAGCGGACATTGAAGATCAGTCTGTTCAGAACAGACAAGTTCGTCAGGAGAAACTTTATAACGTCGATTGTCCCAATGATAACTTTTATGATTCTCTAGGAAACCGGTTAGTGAAGTAGCTTGCGCAGATACGAGGTCACCTTCAGTTGGCTTCAAATAGTGAAGTGAAACTCATCGTTGATCATCTCAGAAAGATTGTAATACAAAACTGAAGCTTTGTTCTCATAAATCTGTGGCACCATGATATTTCACTTTTACTGGTAGTAATAACTGATAAATTTTTGAGACGTATGGTAGGTCATCCCTATCATTTGTGTTAAAATTCGATTTAGCAAACGATTTCTGCCTCTACCTACATATACTAACCTTTATCATTATTACTATGGTCACACCTTGTAGTATCAATATGAAGTAACACATTCATGGACATAGTGAAACTTTTTTACGACTAGATATCTTACCAAAACTTTCTTCCCCATTTCTTCAGTTCCCAGTGGAACACCGAGCTATGGTGTTGTTTTTACGCAGTGATATTGTTAGCCTAAAGCCGAAGCTTCCCTTTTTTTCCGGGCTTACTACCGGTTAGTAAACTAGGCAAGGTTTAAGGTTGCGTCATTAGGGAATCGAACTTCAGACTACGTGCAGGGTTGGCAAGCAGTTTGCCGCCGAACCGACGATGGCAATTATTATTCCCCTAAGCTCTGAGCAGAACGTAGGACCTCAAAAGCACATCTCCAATTCATCATATTTATTGAAGTCACCTTTAGATGGCTCTGCGACAGCCTATAAACTGTCACATTCTCTTCATATGGTCTCCATGTTATCCTTCAACGTCCAACACGTAATTTCTAATCCAGGTTCCACTCGACGGTCTGCCTGGTGTGTAATGCCACTCAATGGTCTCTTCAGCTTATGTTCAATTCACCTATTTTTCTCTACATGGCTGTTGAGCGATAGGTTCTTGGTTGATTCGTCCCTACAGTTCCAGATTGTCTCTCCTTTCTGGTCGACTATCTGATCGTCAGTATGTAATGAAGGCAACTGACGATCAAAACTTGCATAAGCCTATCAGAAATGCTTTCCGTGACGTGCATATTACTCCTCTACGTTATTTAAAAGCTATGATTCAACATTAGTGCGGAAAATCTGAATCTTGTTCTTTAAGCTTAGTGTTGTAGATTCCCACATTGATTTCAGGATAACCAGCGCCTCCTCTCCAGGATTATGCGACTTAATATTTTACTTGGTGTGAACAGGGGAATTATTCCACGCCTGACCTTGAAGAGGCATAAGTCACCCTTTTCCGGCAGCTTGACAGGGTAGCCTTTCTTCCAGTCAGTAAGCACCTTTCCTTCAATCCGAAAACCTTTTGCAATAATGGTGTCAGCTGTGTCACCTTAAACATAAATCATCCTCAAAGTCCAGATCTTTCAAAGTCTTGTCGTCAACCCAACAAATTACCAAAAGATTTGTGAATTCATGAAAAATACAGATCCGATAAAGTAGTTTTTGAAAAGCAATTTGTTCCTTAAAATATTTGTATTTCAGTTTCAAGTAAACCCAACTAATATCCTAAGATTTTTAATAATATTGTTGTATGTTTGTTTCATTTGTAGAGAAATAAGAATTGGTTTAACAAAAACTGAGTTTTCGATAGACTATTGGTAATGTTAATCATAATAATTTTCTAGGTGCTATGTTCATATGGCGTTAACACAATCGTTCTGGGCATCTCATTGGCCAATCTATGAACCAGACCACACCGTCTTCTCCAACTCGATTCCAATCCAGCACCATAGACTGAAGGTGAAAGGTGAAGAAAGAAAGAAAAAGAAAAAAGTTATTAAAATATTTCGATTTTTCCTTCCTTTTTGGAAAAAAAGGGGTTATAATCTTAGAAAAATAGTATTTTATTGTGAACAGTAATGTAAATAAGGTAAGGAGACCTAAAATAAACCTATTCTATAAGCAGTTTTTGCCAGTTCTGTGTTTTTAAAAAAAATTTTTATTCTTTTTACCTCCCTCACTTATCTAGGAAGCATCGTTTCAACTACAGGCGGAATCGGAAAGGCAATATAAGCCTTCATCAACCTGAAACCAGTTTGGAAATCTTTTGCAATGACTCAGTATAAGGAACAAGAATCGGATTCTGTTCAACACAAATGTCAAGTCGGTGATTATCTATGGGTGAGAAACTTGCACTGTAAGTCACGAAGAGGATTTCCAACAGCCTAAAGCTGACTTTCATCAACAGCTGCCCCCTTCAATGGCTCCGTACTGAAGATCAAATGGCCAGTCAGTCGGCCAGAAAGAATTAGTACCAAGAAACTCTGGGTGGGAACAAACCAACCAAGAGCTGATCGCCCAACAAATATGTAGGAGAAAATGGAGATGGAATGATCGGGCATACATCGAAGAGGCCGCCGAATGACATCGCACTCCAGGCCATCGAATGCAATCCCGTATGGCCAGGAGGAGATGAGAGATTATGGGCAGTTGCCGACCCAGCTGAAGAGGATGGCAGGAAACAGAACAAAGTGGAGATGTGTTGCTTAAGCCCGATGTTCCACTCGGAACCCAAGGAAATAATAATAATATAGTACTCACCTTTCTCACTGACACTCCCTATGGAAATAATCTTTGACCTCCTTCAAGTTTAGCTGAGGCTTACTCAATCATGTCAATTCTTTTAAGTCACTCGATTTACTTATTTATTTAGTTTTATTTTACTTTCTACCCAATTAATGCTCCTTTTATTATGCAATTGTTAATAAAAACTCGGAATTTTAACGATACACCTTTGAGAACATTCTTTTCGTTGCCATGAAAATGTACTATATATATATATATATATCATTGTCCAGCTTGAGAGTGATATCATTGAAAGTGCAACAACAGAAGTCAAGGGCCAGGCAACAGAGAGTTTTTTGGGAAATCAACAGATATTTATAGATTTTCATGTACATTATTATAGATTATTGTAAGCAGAAAAACACAGTCTTCTGATTGGTGGTTTCTCGCTGAACGTTAATCTTTCATCTCTTTGTGGCCGTTTCTTGATTATTATTATTATTATATTATTGTTTCCTTTAATTCCTAGAGGAACATAGGGCTTCAGCCGTGCGTCTCCATTGCGTTCGGTTCTCTGCTACAGTTTTCACCTGGCTCCAAGTTTGCCCACGCGCTTTCATCTCCTTTTCACATGACCTCCTACAAGTCACCCACCCTAGCACTGACGACCAACTCGCCGCTTCCCTTCCGGGTTCCACTCGAGCAATGGCTTGTCTAGTGATGTCGCTCACTTGATGGTTTCCTCAGAGTATGACCAGCCAATCCACCTCCATTTCTTCCTGTCTATTTGTTTCACAATCGGTTCCTGCTGTGTTGGTTCGCTCCCAGAGATCTCTGTTGCTGATCTTTCCTGGCCAGCCATCTGATCTTGAGTATTGAGCGAAGACAACTGTTAATGAAGGTCTGTAGTTTGTTTGAGGTGCTCTTTATGACGCGCAGTGCAAGTCTCTGATCCGTATAGTGAGTAGCACTGACTTCACATTTGAGTTGAAAATCCGGATCTTATTTTTGATGCTAAGTGCTGTTAGCCTCCACACAGACTTGAGAGTAGTGAAAGCTTGTCTTGCTTTCCCGATTCTTGCTTTGATATCCTCGTCAGTTCCATCCGCCTGTAGTTGACACGATGCTTTCCGGGTAGGTAGGTAAAAGAGGTTGTTTCTTTCAGGTTCCTTCCATTTCTTGAAGTTCAGATTATCTATCTGCAAATTGTATCCATCTACGCAAAGTCTTCTGTGACTGGTTGTTGAGTCAGTCCTCATTCTTTTTTTTCTCATGACCAACATTGGGGACGTAAACATTGACGTAAATTACTGTCTACCAATTTTGGCTAGCAGCCAGCTCTCACCACAAAAGGAGTGACTCTTCATTGGATACCTTTTCGTTTGTAAGGTGACAATTCACGCTTGTTGTACTTTGTGTAATAGAAGTTTAGAAAAAAGTGACAGATTGAGTGAAGAAATATGCATTCCTTTTCAATTAGCAGTTCCTCATCATCGGTTGGCTATACACCAACATACAGCTTGTTTTTACATCAAAATTGTTGTCTACCAATCAAGTAGTTACTTTTGTTAATCAGGTTTAGGTATACGGGGGGTGGGGTGAAATTAAGAGGTTAAAGGTCATCGAAACAATTAACTAATAGATAGTAGTAACAAGACATCCAAGTTTTCAAGGAGGGAGGGATGAAAACTAATTACCGAATTCAAGATAAGTTGATTTTTAGGCGTTAGCAACAAGTTATTACATAATCAAGGAATTTGTGAAATAGCAGTGATGACTAAGAAGAATAGGTTGACTCAGAAGAATTACGTTAAATACAAACAAGTTAATATTATTAGTTAGAATTGTAAAAATTAACAAAGTTAAAAGATGGTTGCAAAGGGAGGGGATAAGTCGTCTTTAAAAACTTAAAACATATTATTTAGTTGGCCAAGGTTGGCTAAGAAAGGGGCTGTAGAAATTTCTTTTGTACACATCTGAGTATATTCCAAAAAACTGATATCTTAATGGCGCAAAACTGCCTAACAGTGTGATTGCTCCTTGTCGCCTGTTAGACAACAGTCATTGAATCGATGCATTAAAATCCTTTAAGAGAATTACAGTTGAAGGCGACTCCAAGTTGCTACACATCACTGTAGTAATTACTGCTATTAAACGATTTAAATGAAATTTACGCATACAAAAGGAAGCCGCTGTTCACATTACTTAACATTCATTCAGACATCTTTAAAACACAAAATAATTGAACAAAGAATATCCATTTCGATAAATTCCTCTTCTGGCTCTACAATTACACAGATATGTTTATACATAGAATATTCTAGAATAGTAGTCAATAACAATAATAGTGTCTTTTTTGAATAATATCGATTTGTAAAGTAAGATCACAATGGAATTACATTCCATTAAATATGCTTAAATTATTATAATAATAATAATAAAGATATAATAGCAAATAGAATATCAACTAAAATTAAGGAAATTCCACAAAAATTCCTGATTATTCAAACCTGAATGGCCAAGGTAATGATAATGTCTGAACTAACTTCTTTTGGATGCACAAATTAGGCTTGTTAATATGGATCCCAACAGCCAGCCTCAGCAATATTTAGTAGTCGAACTTTTAAGACAAAATTGAGATTTGTTAGTATGCGATAAATCACTTTGTAAGCCTCGTTGACGTCAATCTTGTATTCTGTACTCACAAGATGAGATAGAATAGCACTACGAATAGATTTTGTTTGTCCTTTGCTTAACCACTGTGCAGGGTGATGTTCGGGAATCCGACGAGAAACACGCCTAATTGTACGGCCTATGTAACCAACTGGCTCACTCCACAGGAGCGGTTAAATT